TGACAATTTCTCAGTATTTAGACATGCAAAATCAAACAGTTCATGGATACTTACACATATATCACGAGTATAAAATCATACATGGGAATGAAATGTATCAGAGTAGTAGTCACCTCTGATCAAGGAAGGAGAATGGAATTGCCGTGAGACATACAGAAGTCTTCACCCACATTTGTAATGCGTTACTTAAAAAAAAAAAAAAGACCTGAAACAAACACACCAAAATATTAAAATAAAACTTAAAAAGAAATTTGTAATTAGTAAAGCTGGATAGTGGGTACAGGGGTGCTCATAGAGTCTGTACACTTCTCTGTGGATCTGAGAGGTGTCCTTTACAAAGAGAACAGCAAGGTTAGCTAGCTTAACAAAGGTGACACACAGGCGTGGGGCACTCTCGTCCCTCATGTATGTCAGAGGTGGTTTACACTGAGCAGGTGTCTTCCTAAAGCTTCTGCAGCGAAAGCAGCTCGGTCAGCTGGACCCCCCCACCCCACCTCTCTACCATCAGTCCCATTTTCAATGCCTCGTCTTCCCATGTGACCAGCTGGCCATGAGACCAAGGTGCACTCAGAGGAAGGAGACTCCCCCTGTCCCCCACCCCAGGCCTCCAGCCTAGGCCACGGGCACCACCTGGAAAACATACCACTGAGGCAGGAGTCTGGTAACAAGGCTTCCTCTGGCCTCCCCCTGCCCTCTCCACTACGGACCTCACTGTGGGGGGCAGGGTTTGGCAGATCTGAACCCCCAGATTTAAGAGCATCTAAAGGGCACCAATTTTCATCTGACAGCAGTGGCAAAGGCACCTCACCTGGGACTTGGGGACTTGTTCTTTCGCTAAAGCACAGAAAGATCTCTGGTGTGTCCGCCTGGGAGGCCAACGACATTACCTTTATTGGTTTACCCCAAACTCTTTTCTCAGGAAACGAACTCGGTGCTTTAAGCCAAAAACCCCACGGAGATTAAAGTGGTTTGAAAACCCCATTTGTGAAGGGTCAAAAAAAGTTCAACTTTCTATCCTCACTCTTAAGTACAATTGTGTAGTGTTTCATGCAGTAAAACATTAATAAATTTGTCAAGAACAGAGAATCAGGGCTCAGGGCGGTCTGTGAAATTAGATTTCTCAGGAAAACCTTGGCCTGAGCTCTTCAACTTGGAGAGATGGTTCTTTAGGACCCCAAGCCACTAGAAATCCACACTAAGTGCATCTATCACTTCACTCTTCATTCTGCATAGACCCTACCGTGTCTTCCCGGTGCCCTGGAAAGGAAACCTAAATTCCTAAGCAGGACTTAGGTGGCCCTTCAGGACACACGCCCTGCCCTCCCTTGGACTGAGCCCAGCTGGTTCATCACTGTGGCCCCAGCACACAAGGCAGTGCCGGGCGCCTGATAAAGAAGAGGGCAGAGGACATCTGCTCCTTCCCACCCCCTCTCCCTCCAGCCTCTGGCTCCTACTACAAGTGGCAATAAAAAAAATTAAAAACAAAAAACAAAAAAGCCCCCAGAAATCCCAAGGAGGAAAATGCACTTGCTCTGCAAAGGAGAAAACTGAGATTTCACTCCGATCCGCAGAGGGCTGGGGAAAGCACGCAACTGGCACCACGTCCTAAACAGGGAGGTCATGGTGTCGCAACAGAAAGAGCGGCAGACAGCCTAGTGCTGGAGCACAAATCCAGCCATCAAGGCACAGGCAGGTCCCACTTCTTCCCTAATCCGCCCGCCACACCTGGCTCTTCCACAAAACGACCCGCCTCTGTAGACCCTGTGAACCCCAGCAGTCCTGGACTAGAAGGTGCTCCATCACAGAAGGCACAAGCATCGTGCGTTAGTGTACATTTTGGGGGACAGGTACTTTCAAGTGGGAGAGTTGACAATCGACGGGCCATCAGTGACGATTCTGTGCATTCTGTCTGCAGGGCGGTGGTGCGCCGCAGGGGGCCGGAGTCAGCTGGTCCCAGCTTGGGGGGGGGAGGCCTCCTGGGAGCAGCTCCTCCCAGCTCCACCGTCAGGGACAGGGACATCGGCCTGGCAGGCTGAAATGTGCCGCGGCGGGATGGACACGGCAGAAAATGGCAAACGCTACAAGTTAGTGCCTTTTATTTTCCTTCTCCAGAGTCAGTTTTTAAACATTTAGCAGACATGACGAGTTACGGAGAACCATGCTCAGGCGTCTGAGACTTGGGTCCCCAGAGAGCAGAAACAGCCTGTGTGACAGTGGCGCATCCCACACAAACAGGTTATTTATTGCTCTCTGAGAGGAATGCTTTACATTTCTTACGTTGCTGCAAGTTTTCGGTTTCTAATTAGTTTCCTGGGAAAACAAACAAACAAACAAAAACAACAGTACCCCTGTCAGCACGGGCCCTGAATCTCTCTCACTTCTGCATCCTCAAAGATTTCCCGCCACACACCAACCCCTCCCTCCTTTCTGGCATTCTTTTCAGCAGATCCTCATTCCCAAGTGTCACTCACCTTTTGGTTTTGTGAGACCCTCTCTCGACCTCACACCGTCCCGCCCCGCCCGTCAGAGGCACGTCCTTCCAAATGTACTCGTGGCCCCCAGCTCTGCCCTCATTCGCTCCAGTGACACTCTCCTCTGGAACCTTCCTGGCAATCTCTATGGTTGCGGAGTGGCACCATTCCCTGTGGTCTGCCTTCTCCCCGTGCCTGTTCCCTCTCCACATACCGGCTCCTTTTCCTGTCCCGAAACAGTCATGCAAATGCACAGAAGACCCACCCAACTGTCAATTACCAAAGTCAAGGGGCATTAGGGTGTGGAGTCTTAAAACTTAAGATTGTCCGAATGTCCCACCAAAATGTAGTACTTACATAGTTAAAATAAATCAAGTGACCCCCAAAGTTTTATCCTGCTCTAGAAAGCACGTCAGGTGGCCAGCCATCAACACTGGCCCACGGGCTGCCAGTGGCCATACGCAAGCTGCTGTCTCCCAATTCTGTTGTCATCCAGACGACAACTACACTCTTGAACTGCGTCCTCAGAAGCTGAAAAGCCACCTCCACCCAGGGTCTTCCGCACACACATCGAACCCAGCACTGTATCCCGCACCTCTGCTACACCCCCTCCCACTCGGGGCAGGGCCCCAGCAGCATGCAGACACCAAGTGCCCAAGACCTCTGCATCAGGCACGCTGACTGTGTTCAAACTGCCCTCAAATCTAGCGACTCGTCTGGATTCCCAAGCCACTTTGCTATTTCAGGTCTTCATTTACCACCCAAGTTAGAGCAAAAGTCTCCGGGTATAATCTTCTTTCTTCAATCTACCTCCCAAACCATAACTAGAAAAATCTTACTAAAATGCAAATCAAAACACATCACCCTTCCAGCTAAGGCCCCTCCGTAAATCCCTAATCACAATATTAAAATCTGCAACTGGTCACAACAGCATCAAAGAAAAAGCTCCAGGGGCACCTGGGTGGCTCAGTGGATTAAGCATCCAACTTGTGATTTCAGCTCAGGTCATGATCCCAGGGTTGTGGAACTGAGCCCCGCTTCAGGCTCTGCAGGGAGCATGGAGCCTGCTTGAGATTCCCTTCCCCCCTCTGCCCATCTCCTCAGCTCACACTTGCTTGCTGTCTCAAATTTAAAAATTAATAATAATAATAAATTCATTCATTTAAAAAAAAAAACTCCTCCAACTGAATTGAAAGCCATCTTTTATCTTCCTCCACCAACAGTTCACATATTCCAGTCATGTTAAACAATTTGAAGTTCTCTAGAATGCATTCCATTGTCACTCCATTTGTCAAAGGTTACCTTGCTAAGTAGTTTTCTTGGAATTGCTCCTTCTTCCTGAAGGCTGGGCATGGATGCCCTTTCTATGTTTTCTATGACAGCTACCTCATCATGGAACCACTATGCTCCTGTAATAGTCAACTCATCCATTTACTACAAGCATCTAAAGGCAAGATGTCTCATTTCTGCACTCGTTCTGACTGACATGGAGGAAGGGGCTGAATAAATATTCATAAATCTCGGACTCAGAAAGGCCCTGAGAATTAATTCTACTTCTTCCTCCGTCTCTTCATCGAAGGCCTGTTACTCTTTGTAACCACCTTGCTAACTGAGTGTCCAGCCACTTGAACACCTCTCGTGATGAGAAAAGCACTTATTAAACACTGACATCAACAAGGCCTCACTCTGGACATATACATGGACTTCAATAGAAAGAGCACACAGCTCACAGTCTGTTGGCACCTCAACTGACCAGAAGACCACGACCCTGCTGTGGCTGTGGCTCGACGCAGCTGACTTCCACATTGTCCCCAGTGGCAGGAAGAGCCCTGGGTGGGAAGGGGTGACTGCTGGAAGTGAGTCTGGAAACAATGAAGTCAGGCCATTTTCAAATAGTTAACACAGCTGAGACTTCCCCAAACTCTTTTTGCCCTCGCTTGTGTCTTCTATGTTTAAGCTCCAGAATCAGTACATTGTCAAAAAGGAAAGTCTAATGGGACCATTTTGTCCTAATTCCAGAAAGTCTAAGAGAGCAGAGACCGTATGACTCAAGTCAATTATTTTATTGAAGGAGAGAAGTTACGCAAATGTTAACTGATTGTTGGCAAAGGAGGGAAACACGTTAGAAGTCAGCTGTGTTGGCAGAAGGGAGAGAGCACCTAAGGCTCTCTGCCTAACAAAATGCTCAGAATCCGGGTTTCCACATTTCTCCATGGCTTGAGAAATGGATCACTTTCTCATGGGTCACTTTCTGTCTAGAGGATTCTGGAAACCAAATGAGGTTAAGATTCTTTCAGGTACCAACCAAGAGGCTTTAGGTCTTCTCTCAGCTAAGGCACCCGATGGAAGTACACAGGCAACCTCGGAAGTCTTATAGGTTTGGTTCCAGACCACAAGAAAGCAAACACCACAGTAAAATCAGTCAAATGAATTTGTTGGCTTCCCAGCACATATAAAAGTTATGTTTATACTACCCTGAAGTCTAGTAAGTACACAACAGCATTACGTCTAAAAATCAATGTACACGCCTTAGTTAAAAAATACTTTATTGTTGATAAAGTGCTAACCATGACATCGGAGCTTTCCGCACGTCAATCTTTTTGCCAGGGAAGGGTCTTGTCTCGACGTGACGGCAGCTTCTGCATCAGCGCTTGCTGCCTCACCTTGTGCTCTCAGGTTATGAGGACAGCCTCTTTCCTTTATGCCTCGTGAACCAAGGTCTGCCAGCTTCAAACTTTTCTTCTGTGGCTTCTTCGCCTCTCAGCCTCCATGAAACTGGAGAGAGTGAGCACTTTGCTCTGGATTAGGCTTTGGCTTAACAGAATGTCCATTCTTCTATCCAGACCACCGAAACCTTCCCCAGATCAGCAGTAAGGCTGTCTGCTTTCTCTGCATTTGCATGTCCGCTGGAGAAGCCCTTTTGATTTCCTTCAGGAACTTTCCCTCTGCATTCACACCTTGGCTAACTGGCACAAGAGGCCTGACTCCGGCCCATATAGGCTTTCAACATGCCCTTCACCCTGAGCGTAATCACTTCTAGCTTTTGACTTAAAGTGAGAGAAGGGGGGCTCTTCCTGTCACTTACACACTTAGAGGCCAGCATAGGGTTCCTAACTGGCCTAATTTCAATACTGCTGAGTCTCAGGAACAGGGAGGCCCAAGGGCCGGGGGAGACGAGGGAAGGGCTGGTCGGTGAGCAGTCAGAACACACACAACACTAAGTCCGCTGTCTTCTTCTATGGACACGCTTCATGGCGCCCCGAAACAAGGACAATAGTGACCTCACAGACCACCGTAAGAAGTATAATAGTAATTATAAAGTTTGAAATACTGTAAGAATTACCAAAATGTGATACAGAAACATGAGGTGAGAACTGCTGTTGGAAAAATGGCACCAAAAGACTCGCTCAACGCAAGGTTGCCACAAACCTTCAATTTGATAAAAATGCATTATCTGCGAAGCTCAATAAAACGAAGCACAATAAAACGAGGTATGCCTGTAATTTATTTTTCAGATTCCTCTGCGGGATTAAAAAGTCTTTTTCTCATCGCATTGCCATGCTCCCTGCTCTTGGTCCTCTTTTCCATGTACTGGAAAATAAAAGGAAGGGGGGAGAGAAGAGACAGCAGATTATGTTACTGTTTATGTATCCGCGGAGTTAAATATTTTAAAATAACTGCAAAATAAATGGTTTCTGCTGATAAAATTCTTATGTCTTTTATTTCACTGAATCTGAAACTACAAACACAGTACAGCATCTACATCCTAATAGGTGCACAAATATTGACTGAATTAATTTCTTCCCAAAAGATGAATTCAGGAAATATTTAAGATGAGTGAGTTTTGCCCCTGTTCTTTAGGAACTCACAATCTATCGCACGCATCTAAACTCTGCTTGAACACATATAGTCTTGAGGAGCTCACTACCTTGAGAGGAGGCCTGTTTCACTATTGGACACTTCTACTCGTTCCAAAGTGTTTTTTATGTTGAACCAGTGTTTCCACTTAAACTCTCCTACTGCCTGCTATTTCTTCGTGCTGCTATAATCTGGTAAATATCTGGGTTAGAGATAACCCACTTACTACCTCGTTTTTGGGCTGAACATTCCTGGCTTCCACAGAGGTTAACAGAACATGGCCTCTGCCTCCTAGCCACTACCAAGCACCTTTTATAAAGTGCTTTAATATCAATACCCCTTATGAAAAATATCACAACCAGAATTAAATACAGTGCTCCACATGGTCCGACAGATGTGGGTTACAGTGGACCTACTAGCTCTTAGCACCTAGGCATTTTGCTTCTATGAATACTGTCAAGAGGAACTGGCTCTGGGCAACCATATTATCCTATCAGTTCACATGGAAACTTAGTCAGCTGAACATCCCAGGATATTTTTCATTGTAAAGTCATCAAATGGATTCTCCCTAAATCCTATGTTTCTGTAATTAGTCGGACCTAAATGCAGTTTTCACTGCATTTAGAGGTTTTCAGCCTAGTATTTTGATTTGACCAGTAGGTTATTAAGTAACAGGAAATACACAGCCTGGCACTTAGAATATGCACTTGTTTAAAGCAGAGAAACTTGAATATAAGTGTTTTATACAGATATATGTACAGGTTTATATACACCCATACAGACATTATTTTAGAGGTGAATGAAGGGTCCCTACTAAAAGGGAAAAAAAATAAAAGTAAATTCAAGATGAAAAAACTTAAGTATACAGCTAGACATCAAGATCTTTTAGGAGCCAAAGATAAGGGAAGAGGCCACAGAAATGAAATCGGTGACAGAGAGCTAACTAGGGACTTGACTGTATCCTCTGCCTCTGACCCCTGAGACAATGGTGTGGAAGTTCATGTACATCTTCCGGTCCCATAACCACAAAAATATAGGGAGCTAGGCTAGATCATCTTTAAGAAGTTTTCTAGATCTAAAGTTTTGATTGAAGAGTTATAATATAGATTCTGGAATGACAGTTTTCAAACTTTTTTTTCTTCTGAGACACCAGGTCCCTTTAACCAAAATCCTTCCTTTTATCTGTCATACATTAATTTTCTTCTTAAGATTTTTTTGGGGGAAAGGGCATTTCATTGCTTTAACAAGTTTTTTTTTTTAATATTTATTTATTATTGAGATAGAAATAGAGCATGAATGGGGGAGGGGCAGACGGAGAGGGAGACAGAATCTGAAGCAGGCTCTGGGGTCTGAGCTGTCAGCACAGAGCCCGACATAGGGCTCGAATCCACAAACTGTGAGACCATGACCTGAGCCAAAGTCAGACGCTTAACCAGCTGAGCTACCCAGGCACCCTTGTTTTGTTTTGTTTTGTTTTGTTTTGTTTTGTTTTTAAGGCACTATTCTAGAAAACGGAGGGATACCTACTCTTAGAAAAATATTTGATATCTATCTTTAATCACATATGCTGGGCTGTCCCCAGCAATCAGCTTGGGAGAAGGGATTTAAGGGTCTATCTTCAGAATACCATATAGGGGGCCCAAAAGGCAGGTTAAAGAACAAATTATAGTCTATGTTAAAATATATCTTAAGATATCCCCAAAGGGAGTCCAGACAGCCTCTAGATTACAAGAAGGGGGAAAACGATGAACGTGATGTTATTCACAAAACTTCACTCAACAATGTAGACAGAGTGGAAGGTCAGTTAACCAAAACCCAACTCAAACCAAACTGATTAAGAGGGACAAAAAGGATGCTGCAAAAGTAATATTAGTGATTCTTTCAATAAAAAGGGGGTGGGGTGGGGGAGGCAGTAACACAGCGGCAGAGAGAAGCTAAGGGAAACTGGCCAGCTCCTTCTAGTTAAAAGCTTCAAGGAATGAACTGCTCAAATGGCACGTGAAGGAAATGGTAAAGGAGCACGTGAGAAGCAATAAATGGTAAACCAGAAAGCTTATTAAAGGCAGAGAGGAAATAAATGAGCACAGGTTCAGAGGACTGAAGCATGAAAGGGCAGAAAAATATCTATAAATCAGGTAATGAAACAACATAAAAACCACATAGAGGACTTAGAAAATAAGTCAGGGAGAAAAATCTAGAATTCATATGAAAACAAAGTAAGAAAAATATCTACAACATCCTACCAAACAGTCACTAACAGCTCGGGACCACCTGGGAAGAAAATTTCATATGAAGATCTAATCACCAAACCAATGGCAAAAATTATTGAACCATAAGAAGAAAAAATAAATCTAAATTTAGGGGAAAAGGCGATCTGACACAACAGTAAGCATGTGAGAAATAAACTGCTGCACTGAATAACACAGCGCGGGCTTCACTTCCCATAATCGTATGCAAACAAAACGAAGCCCTAGGTTCAGCTTTCATATAAACTAGCTTTACCAGTGAAGAAAAACTCGAAAAATCCATTTAAAACACTTATACGTGTACATGTGTGTGCAAAGAAAATTATCACCCTGAACTCAGAACTCCAGAAAGTTCTTCAAACATTAAAGATACTAGAAAGGGATTCCAGGAAGAGAAAAAACAAACAAAACCAAAAAAAAAAGCCCAAAAGCCTCAGATTGGAAAATATAAAAAACAAAGATATAGATGCTGGAGAGCTTCAAATACTGTAATACCTTTCAACATGAGGCAAATAGGAAAAAAGTTCAAAAATATGGAAAATGTAAGAAAATTGGAAGACAGGTTTTTAATACAGATTTTTTTTTAAGTTTTAGATATAACACATCTCATATATGAAAAGAAATGGAATTAAATTTCTTTTCAAAGATTTCAAAAGCACTCTGATACATGCCCAAGTCCACGTCACGGCCTCAAACCAAGTTTGGGAAAGGAGTCTTTGGGATCAAGTTGAACGAGATCCTTATGGCTTGTCCATGCCATGGTTATAAAGAAATTCACAATTTTAAACCTGTAAGGAGACCTGTAAGTCTAGTTCCCGCCATGTTTTATGAGGAAACAGGCCCAAAGAGTATTGGTTTCCTGCTACAGGTAATAGCTGATGGACAGAAGTCATTCTGCTAAACAAATTCAACTTCCCTAACCTTGCAATTCATCCAGAAGAGTTACAATGATTACAATAAGGAAGTTGTTTTCATTTACGTGCATGCAAAACAAAACAAAAACAAAAACAAAAAACCTCAGCAATGTTCTAAAATTGTCCCCAGAAGAGGCTTTTATTTCTCCTCTTGGTTTTAGGGGAGGACATATGTCTAAAGCCACTTCTCTCTGTTATACTAAAATTCGGAATAAAAATTAATAATGACAGTATTATAAAATATTGTTCAAAAATGTTGTTCTACTGTTCAACCACTTTTATCCTTTAACACTTTCTTACCTCATTCTTCAAGCATTTTCTCATCTCCCGATCAAGATCATTGCAATGACCAAAAAATTTCAGAATGCTGTGCTAAAAGGAAGAAAAGGGGTAAAATATTTCATCCCATAATGTGCTAAGGTCTCTGGCACATAGAATTTAAATACTTATTCCTACAGAAATGGGTTTAATGTGTCGCCACCTTGTTAATAAGCAAATAGGTAAATCACAGGTATAAGGTATACAGATAAACAGACTTATCCTGGTCTTCCTAAAAGAGAGAGAAAGGCTCTGTAGGTAGAAATGAAAAACAAAAAGACTTTTTTCCTTGATAAAGGGAAGCATATTAAACTGCCAAAACCTCACAATGACAGAGTGTAAACAATTCTGTTTTCGAGTCACTCTGTCTTTAAGGGCATGTTACAATCACAGCACAATCCATTATCCACTATAGGGAGTGATGTCAAAGTGCACCGTGGCCATATTAACATGACCAGTAACTTCCTTCACTAGCAAACACTCTGTCCCACTGAAGAATTACCTAATAAATGCTGGGTGCCAACACTATTTTCTCATTGGCCTCCATTCAAAATGTCATCAAAATACATCAGAAACACATAACACTCTTATTAAATGGCCTATATGGGCCACATAAATAAGCTACTAATCCACAATATAAGAACATCTATGTCTGAAGTTCAAAGTCTGCTCTCTCTGAAAAGCAAAAAATAAAAATCCCCTAGTGGTTTCAAGGCCTATATGACAAGGATCACGGCAAAAAGTACGAATGCTCCAAAGCAGATTACGAAGAAGGCTGAGGTCAAGAATGTGAATTTTAGCAGGGCCATAATTAGTGTGTTTGCAATCACAATTTTTAAGGGTGCCTAGGATAGCATGGCGATGGCCTATATAATAACATGCCATGAATGCCGAACTTGTAGCTATAATAATAAGCACCTGTTCCATTTCTTTCTAATTAAGGCTTTTCATGGAAACCAGACAACACACAATTCCTAAGCTATGCCTCATGCTACCCCCTCCCCCTGCCTCGATGCCACCTTCAATGTCTTCTTCTGGTCTACAGTCAATGAATGGGTCAGTTTTTCTGGCGAGCATTTAGGGTAAACTGACATCGCCTACCAGTTACCTAGTGACCTTTTCAGAATAAGTATTTCTTGTGTATTCTTCCTAAACTATTTCTCTGACCACAGATGAATGGGAACAATGCATTTTCACACACCTTCTGGTGAAGCAGAAACAACAGAAAGGATTAATGTTGAAAATGTAAGGCAATATTTCATAGGTTAATTCACAGGAATTTCTATCATCTCATACACAAACATCTTTTTTAAAAATCTGAGACAAAAGCTAATTTTTTTGCTTTCACCCAATATTTTAGCCCACAGAAATACACTCTTGTGACGTTACGTGAAAAACAAACCCGCTGGAAGTGGTAAAAGGAACACCCGTGGACTGCAGTTCTCTTGCACGCACGTGGCATAAGCCTCCAATGTGTGACGTCTGGTTCTAGAAACCAAACTGCCTGGGCCAGTAACTGAATAAATGGACCAATCAATCGACATCTTAAAGACAAGCACTAGGGATTCAGCAGTGAGGAAGGCGGACCTGGGCCCTACTTGCACAGAACACGGTCACAGAGAAGAGCCAACGAGCAAAGTGACTGCCATAAAGCAGTTGTTCTTCAAGCGCAGTCCAGGGGCACCAAGAGTTCCCAGGAGCTCTCCAGGGGGCATAGAAGGTAAGCACTATTCTCTTGATAATCGGGGATCTTATTTGTTTTGCTCACTGTCATTCTCTCACAAGACTACAGTAGAATTTTCCAGAGGCCACACAGAGGACAACATCACCAAACACTAGACATGAGGCAGACAGGAGACACACCTATATTCTATTAAGCCAGATACTAAAGAGAACTGCAAAAATCCAAAAACAATGTCATTCTTTGTGGTTTTTTTGTAATGTTTATTTTTAAGACAGAAAAGTGCACATGAGCACACCAGCTGGGGGGTGGGCAGACAGTGGGTCCGAAGCAGGCTCTGCACGGACAGCAAGAGGCCCGACGCCAGGCTCAAACCCACGAACTGTGATTGTGACCTAAGCTGAAGTCAGATGCTTAACTGACCGAGCCACCCAGGCATCCCGAAAGAAATGACATTCTTTTGACTCTGTCTTTTGTTTCGTAAAATAAGATCTTTTTTATGAAAAATTACTATGTTAACATGCACTGAGTTTATTATTATATTTTTAGATACAGTTACATTTTTTAAAAATTTCTCAGTTTTAATTTCTAATTCATAAATATCGGTAGCTAGAGTCCACATACACAAAAGTTATTTGGGGTCCTCAGTAGCTTTTAAGAGTGTCTAGGAGTCCTGAGGCCAAAAAGTGTGAGAAGTACCTTAAAGTAGGAAATGGACCACGTATGGTGTCACTGGAGTACAGAGCGACGACACCAGGAGAATGTAGGCCAAGAAAGGAGGAAAGGAAGAGGAAACGACAGGCTACAGAATAACGCCTGGAGGAGGCTGGAACGCGGTGTCCCATGCGGGCAAGCGGAGCCGGTGGGGAGGGCTCCGAGACCAGGAAGGACAAAGCCAGCACCCAGCATCAGGAGAGAGAAGCGTGCGCTCACACGCCCGCAGAAAGGAGCCCGTGGGAGCAAGGGGAAAAGAGGGCAGGAGGGTGTGAAACCCAAGGCTAAGTAGGCCCTGAAACAACACGAAGGGAGACACTGGGATTTTATGCTGCGGCAGAGGAAGCCAGTAGAGCGAAACGATGATTGAACGTAGTCTGAACAGTCACTCCGACACGGTGTGGGACGTGAGTGAGGGCAGAGGAGAGGGCAAACCGGTCAGGGGACCCGGGTAGCCCCACTAAGAGAACTCTGGAACTAACTGGTGTTCGGAACAGACACATAAATCAGCAGAAGAGACTAGAGAGCCCAGAAATAGACCCAGTCACGTGTGGTCAACTGATTTTGACAAAGGCAGCAGGATAATTTAGGAGGTAAAGACGGTGTCTGCAACGGACAGTACTGAAGAAACAAGACCCAGAGAGAAAGGAAAGCAGAGACTCCTACCTCACCCTAGACACACATATTAACTTGAAATGGGTCACAAACCTAAATATCAAAGCTAAAATCCTAAAACCTTCAGAAGAAAAAAATAGGAGAAAATCTTTGTGAACAGGAAACATAAAGATCCTTAGAATCCAAACAACAAAAAACAAAACAAAAAGTCCTCACAAACAAACAAAAAAAAGCCACCTAGTAATCAGACTTCATCAAACTTGGAAACTGCTCTTTGAAGCACAACCTTCAGAAAATGAAAAAGGGTATGACAGGCTGAGTACATACTCACAATACACTTGTCAGACAATGTCTTCAACTTGTCAAGACAATGTCTTGACTGTAGAATGAAAAAAAATTATTAAGACTCAGTACTAAAGCAAACGACTCAATTTTAAAATATGGGCAAAAGAAAATAATAATAATGATTAAATAAGTAAGTTTTTTTAAAAAAATAAAATATAGGCAAAAGACTATACGAAAGGTCAAGAGGCACATGAAAAGAAGCTCAAATGAGAGACTACTGCACAGCCATAAAGTAACGTTAAAAAGACTTACAATATCAATTCTGTGTCTACGTGTACGCTGAAAAGAATTTGCCTAAAGGATATTGTCACCAACAACGTTCTTTGAACAAAGATATCTAACTTCACAGATCACTACCTGTTAGTCTTAAATTCTACTCATTTAAATGATACATACTAACTTTATAATTTTACACATCTACAGTTTATGAATATCATGAGGAAAACAGCACATCATGCAAAGTTAAAGAAAAACACAAACGCTCTTGGTAACTGTCTCACGTATCAATTATATGGGAAAAAACTCAATGTTTGTCATCCGTAAAAATATCAGCTTTAATTGAATGCATTCCAAAAATGTGTTTCTTTTCCATTTTGGTTTTAACCATTGAATTTTACTTCCATTCCACTAACAAGTAAGTTAACCTGTCAAATTAGGCCAATCATAATTTAAATCTAGCTAACATCTAATTGTTAAAAAAAAAAGTTTTTAATCTCCTTTAAACACAGAATGGTAGACATCAAGGAAAATATTTAAAAATTCTTAAAATAATTACATTATGATCAAAAGAGTCCATTTAAAATAATTGGTCTAACATCCTGTAGTTAAAAAAAAGGAAAGTATTTTATTGAAAGAACATGGGTTCCATATCATTTCAAAAGTTCCCTAACAAACCACCATGCTTAATTTTTACTAATCACAAAAGGAAATGGTATCTGAAAAATCACAAGCATCAATTACTAATCTTTAGTAAGCTAAGATCCGCTATATGATCATTCCCTTCCCTCAGCGAAGGTAACATTTCACATCACTGTGTTGTACCTAAGTTTCATTTTCGCTTTATGGTCATTTTTCTGAACTCTTACATTTTTGTGACATTCCTTAAGCAAGTTAATCAAGACGTTGCATTCTTCAGTGTGCAAGTGTGGAGATAAGTCAGGATGCATCTTTAGGAGGAGGTGATGGAGCACAGCAGAGCAACCTGTGGATACAAGAGTGTCTTGAATACGTGTGACTGTAATTGTCCGTGAGACCCAAAACTATTTCAGTAAAAACCTGCAGTGCACTTTATCAGAAACAAACACTGACCTTAGGCAAATTATTAAACTTGAGCCTCAGCTTCCTTATCTGGCAATGTAACAGATTCAGCAAGTTATCAGGTGTTCAGAGAACCTACAGGTTCAGAAAAAAGCAAGACTTCTTCTAGAGAGGCCCAGCTCTGGAAAGAAGTGCTCCAGAAGAAACAGGCAGCCTCTATTAACAAGCCTGATTTCAACTATTTCCTCCACATTCCTGAAACTGATTACAACTCATTTTGTGCAGATGAAATTCTACAAAATAAGGGAACTGGTTTATTAATCCTTTTAAAACGTATATTCCTCTGAGAGGGTTAAAGCCCCATCAGTCTCACATTAGTGTGAATTAACATGGAATGTTTTCTTCCTAACATCTGGCTGAGAAAATCTAACTAAACAACGAAGAGAAACAAAAAGAAGTGAAAAAAAGTTTTCTAGTTTAGCAGATCTGTCCATAAAATTCAATTACTACAATGAAAGCAAGATGATGAAATAAATCCCAGAAATTAAATTTAATTGGTTAATTCACTAAGTAGAAATTTAGCAGCCAAGGTCAAAGGAAAAGCATTATTTTGAAGCATTTGCTATAGTTATACAGCACTATTTGCCTACTCTTTTTTTTTTAACCTATTCTTTTTAACTTGGAAAAGGGTACCAAAAGAAAGAACCAATTATCACTTTCATCTTTTAAAAGGTTCAAGGAAAAAAACAAAATAATGACCTTAGTGGGCAAAGAGTTCTTAGGTCAAAAGCACAATTCATAAAAGAAAAAAATTGGTAGAATCTTATCAAACTTAAAACTTTCTCATTTCAAAAATATACCACTAAAATGAAAAGATGCAGGGATGGAAAGTACAACACAGGGAATGTGGTCAATAATATTGTAATACACATCTCGCCATGAGCATTTCATAATGTATATGCTTAAAAAAAAAAAAGAAAGAAAAAGATAAGCCACACTTTGGGTGATAATGACATGTCAATGTAGGTTCAGTAGTAAAAACACACAACTATAGAGGGGGATGCTCATCATGGGTGGGAGGGTTTGCATGTGTGGGGCTGGAGCACATGGGGTCTCTCTGTACTTTCTGCTCAATTTTGCTGCAAACCTAAAACTGCTCTAAAAAATAAATACCCTACTAGCTAGAGACTAGGAGAAAATATTTGCAAACCCTGTTTGAAAAAGGACTTGCTACCTACAGCATATAAAGAATGCTTACAAACCAGCCCAACATTTAAAATGGACCCCCCAAAATGGGCAAAAGATTTGAATAAATGCTTCACAGAAGATGGTACAAGAATGGTTAATTAAGCACATGAAAAAATGCTGAACATCATTAGTCACAAACTAAATTCAAACTAAAGCCACAATGAGATACCACCACATTCCCCCCCGAATAGCTATAATCAAAAAGGCAGACAATATCAAGCAGTGGTTAGGACGCAGAGAAAACAGATCTCATGCACCGATAATGAAAATGTAAAATAGGACACACTTAGGAAAACAATTTGGCCGTGTCTTAAGGAGTTAACACACTTACCCAATGACCCCTGACCACGGAAACTGCACTCCTAAGAATCTACCCAAAAGAAATGAAAACATATCACCACACAAAGACATGTATGTTAATGTTGACAGCATTATTCATTATAGCCAATAGGAAACAACCCAAATGTCCAATAATCTGGTAACTGGGTAAATAAATGCAGTATGTCTAGACAATGGAATAGTATTTAGCAGTTAAAAGGAATGCATGGACGCAGGCACCAACATGGATGAACCTCAAAGCACCAAGCTGAATGAAAGAAGCCAGACTCAAAAGACTGTACTGTATGATTCCATTTACACGCAATGTGTAGAAAAGGCAAAATGGTAGAGAAAAAAAGGCTGATGGGTTGTCTAAACCTGAAAGTGAGAGAGAGGATTATTTGCCATTGGGCACAAAAGAATACAACTGCGTGAAGAAAGTGTTTTAAAATGGGATTTTGGTAATGGTCGTGCAATAGCAGTTTACTAAAATCACTGAACACACTTTACTAAAATTCACTGGTGGGTGAATTTTAGGAAATGTAAATTATATCTTAACAGAGCTGATACAAAAACGTTCAAGAAATTCAAACTGCCTATCTACTTTTCACTCTCAATAAGTCCTTAACAATGACTACACAAAGAATTCCAGAGCATTACACTATCCCTACTATTTAAGAATTCAGCTTCTAAAAAGCCTAGTGGATCGCGGTACCACTGAGTGACTAAGGGCATGCGCATGCGTACACAGGCCACATACCACAGCGGAAGGTCCCAAACCAGGCCGCCATGCCCAACTAAGTACTGGAGTATCTGAAACGGAAACTGGAAATGCAGCCAAGTTCAAATTTTGTTTGCCTGCCACTGACTACAAAGTCTTCTTAATGACATAATCTTTTTGCTCAGAAAAACGAGGTCTCCTACAGTCTAGCAATTTAAGTCCTCTCATGTTGTACCATTTAGCCACCTAGAAAATGTCTTTTTATTTTGTAAATTTATTTAACAAAATATTTTTCCCTATTTCTATCAACTAGTCCTCAGATGTGTGCTTTTACAATTGGGAAACAAGCTTATGATGTACTGAAATGACCTCTTTGGCCAATTAAATACTTTTGAAGACACTTGGCTGCTGAGACAAATGCATCCACATTGTATAGAAGTAGAAATGAGTAATTATCATGAGTATATTTTTCCTCCCTCCATTACAAAAGTTTATGCCGCTGCAGACCCAGTCAGAGTACCAATAAGATAACTTCCTTTCTACTTACTTATCCTACGTAACTATGTCAAAGAAGCAAATCGTTTCACATAGTTTCCTTTTCCTATTCTTCTTGGTAAAAAGCTAAGCTACTACTTCTTAATCTACAGCTCTAAATACTGACTGAATCCCTTGTCTAACAAATTCCTCGCTTTACCAGTTATCCCCCCTTTCCTCCACCCTATCTTTTTAGTGAGCTACCCCTTTCTTCTTTCCCTCTACCTACCCCGTACCCATGCCCCCTTCCAGCATCCAGCTGGCTTCGCCTCCCATTGGTGCTTACACAGGTGTACTGTCACACTCTCAGGAGCAGTGCACAGAGCACAGCTATAAAACCGTGCCACTGTTCCTACAACACTCAGTGTGAGTGCTCGTATCTTCCAGCAGTCATCTTTAAAAGCCTATTCTGGAGCACCTGGGTGGCTGGCTTAGTCGGTTAAGCATCAGACTTCATCATCTCGCTGTTCGCGGATTCGAGTCCCATGTCAGGCTCTGTGCTGACCGCTGGGAGCCTGGAGCCTGCTCCAGATTTTGTGTCTTCCTCTCATTCTGCCCCTCCCCCATTAAAAAAAATTTTTTTTTAATGTTTATTTAGTTTTGAGAGAGAGAGAGAGAGAGACAGAGTGTGAGTGGGGGAGTGGCAGAGAGAGAGGGAGACACAGAATCTGAAGCAGGCTCCAGGCTCTGAGCTGTCAGCACAGAGCCCAACGCGGGACTCAAACCCACGAACTGTGAGATGATGACCTGAGCCCAAGTCGGTCGCTTAACCGACTGAGCCATACCTTCCTCATTTGTGCTCTCACTCGCTCTTGCTTGCTCTCTCTCTCTCTCAAAAACAAATTTAAAAAAATAAAAAATAAAAGCCTATTCTAAATAACATTACTATAACTCAAAGTAATTTGTGAGCTGAAGAAAACTAAATGTATATTCCATATTCTTACTTTTAAAATTCCTTCAAAGCAATGAATCTACATGATTAGTGTATAAAATAAGTTTTAAACACTTAACACACAGTAGGTACAAGTCTTCTAATCCTTCCAGTAAGTGTAAATTCAGTGGAACCATAAGAAATTGCCTTTTTGTACTTCAAGTATGCATTACTCACATTTTCATATCAAAAATAAGTCCCAGGTCACATAGTAAGTGGCAGAGTGACTACCCAATGGCATCTCTAACCAGGACAAATTATTCCTATGCTCAAAACAGAAAACTTCCCAGCAGTTTGTGGATGAAATAAATTCAGATAGGAAAAACTATTTCCCAAAGAGCCTCTGGTTGACTACAAGTTCAACAGGCACTAATTGTGGGTTCCAAAGAAGTCAATGTAACATTATCCTGCATTACTAGAAATAGAGGGTCTGTCTACCTCAACAAAAAGAACAATACTGTATTCGTCCAGACATATGTGAATATTCCTGGAGAGAGTGATCAGAATTAAGATGGCTTTGACTCTAAAACTCTTCTCAGGAACCCAATAATGAAACTGGGAATATTTAGCAATTTAGGGAAGCTCCCATCAAAGCAGACAGATCAAAGGAATAACCTGGTTCAGCAGGAGAAATAACGGATCTGAAGGCAAAAGTTGTGGACTTATCTGTCCATAAGTTATAACACTTTGGTTACTTAATCTGACCTAAGTCTCTTCCATAAAACGGAATTAGCTCTTGACCTGTATCTGAGTGGTCATGAGGTTTAAAATAACATATGTGGGAGTATCTGAAACAGTGCGCAGAGAGTGTGACATATGCAAAATGTCTGAAATGCTCATCACATGATAGGAAAGACTGAATGGAATTTGCAATGCTGTTTCCAAGGTGTTTCTGAGGACAGGACCCTTAACAAAGGCAGATGTCACCTCCCTGGAGCTGTCCAACAATGAAGCAAGCTGCTTTGGGAAGTTCTCGGTTATCTGTCTGTCTTAAAGTACCCCAAAGAGACTGGCTACGTCAGTTAAGGATGTCACAGAATGTATTTCTGCACTGCATTCGTCAGTTTCTTCTCAAATATAAGTTCACAATTAAACTTATATTTTTATAAGATTTTAACCTACTTCCAGAAATGAAATTCACAATGGATAAAAACCTGTCACTGCTAGGAAAACACAAAAGAATTTCAAAAGGATAATGCCAAAGTCATCATGAACATCAGCAGCACTGATGAAACAAAGGTGAGGGGAATATTCATTTGTGACAAGACTTCATGCGTGCCTGCTTGCAGTAAGAAAAAGGAATACATTCCATTCACAGTGGTACTATTTATACACAAAACTGCAGTCGCACCTTTACACTGGCATTTAGAAAACACCAGAAGGTTAACCTGTCACAGTTACAGTGCTTGCCTACCCAACTCCACCCACTGCCTTAAGTATGCACACATGTATACTAAAACAGATGCTGAAACTCTTAAAATTAAATGTTCAGCTGTGACAACAACCGGGTGACTGGCCCCTGCACAGCAATTTTAACTTTTACTTGGGGGTAAGCTGGGAGGTCAGAGCAGTACGGTACTCTCACTAAAGACGTAAAGATCACAGTCTTATTTTAGTCGTTCACCTGATTCCACCAAGACGGAGGTAAAACTTTCCTAAGGAGTATTCCATGATAGATTTCAACCACCAGGTGGCACAGTTTTCAAAACATAAGCCAAGAGGTAAGCAATACATGGCATGACCTCTAGTAAAGAAAAAGGAGTAAGCATCTTAATAACACTTCAGCAAATCTATAATCACAAGGAGGAAACTCCCTATTTTAATGCCACTTGTGTTTTCTTTCAAAAGATTTTGCTGTTTTGTGGCTCCACCAGAAAGAAATTCACACCACAGCTACAATTTCTAATGTCACTGTAAAACAGAAACGGGGTGGGGGGGGGCGCCTGGGTGGCTCAGTCGGTTAAGCATCTGACTTCGGCTCAGGTCATGATCTTGGGGTTCGTGGGTTCGAGCCCCGCATCAGGCTCTGGCTGATGGCTCAGAGCTTGGAGCCTGTTTCAGATTCTATATCTCCCTCTCTCTCTGGCCCTCCCCTGCTCACGCTGTGTGTGTGTGTGTGTGTGTGTGTGTGTGTGTGTCTCAGAAATAGATAAAAACATTACAAAATTTTTAAAAAATAAAAAACAGGGGTGCCTGGGTGTCTCAGTCAGTTAAGCGTCCGACCTGGGCTCAGGTCATGATCTCACAGTTTATGAGCTGGAGCCCCACACTGGCCTCTGTGCTTACAGGGCAGAGCCTGGAGCCTACTTGGATTCTGTATCTCCCTCTCTCTCTGGCCCCCCTCTGCTCCCATGCTCGCTAGCTCTCTCACTCTCTCTCAAAAATAAATAAGCATTCAAAAAGCAAAACAAAAAACAAATCCAGAAAAGTCCCTTGTTCAGAGTTTGAAGAATCTGTTCTCCAGAAAAAACTGTAAACTTAATAAACACGTAATGCTTTCTAAAACATGTATTTTTTAAGGCCTACTTTTCAGAAAGCCTCGAATCAGTTAAATTAGTATTTCTCCAACTACATCAAACTATGCACCAAACTCAGCAGAGGTAGCGGACACAGCAGTGCACCACCTACCCTACAGTCTTCTATTTACCCCAGTTGCGCAGAGACCAAACCTAAACATCTGCTATTGAGTGACAAGTACTCCCAAATACACACCACGGCCCACTGCTTCGGAGAGGAACCCCTGGGCTGCCCGGGGAAAAAATCCACAGGGCTCTTAAGTTCCACCACACAGCTTCCCAAGAAATGGAAACACACTCATCAGCACTCAGTAGGCACTGGGCATTCTGCTAAACCACCCGAATTTCAGAGAAGAAAAAAAAAAAAAAAAAAAGCAGTCCATATACCTCAAAAAACACACAGGCTAGTGAGGGAATGTTCTTGCAAATGCACATAGTAAATGCCCAATAAATGCTTGCCAAACGTTGAATTTGGGGTTATTATAAAACTGAGAATTGGTTCACACCTCAACATAGTTAACAACAACAAAAAGAAAGGATAGAAATGAGCAAGGCTCATTTTAAACAACCTAAACACGTGCAGGAAAGGAGATATACGGGAGTCACAAGAGAATTCCTTTGCCAGCGCAAACTTCTTTTATGCATTTAAGATTTTAAATGAAGGTTTCCAGAACGCGGGTTTACTTAAGACTCTCCAGCAAGCACCTATTGGGAACCTACAAGCACGGTAACTTCTAAGCCCCAAAAAAGGCATCTGAATGTCTAACTTTCCTTGGAAAGTGTGCTGAGGAGCTCCTTGGATTCTCGCTTCCCAAGACAGACTGGCGGCAGCTCTTACTGCCGCTGAGATGTGCAGCTACGTGCAAATTCTAAACTCCTAGGTGGTCACAATAATAATCATACAATTCATTGAGAGCCCACCGCTCAATGTCAAACGCTGTAACTGTCGATGCGATGGGCTGTACCCATTTTACAGGCGTGGAAGCCGAGGCTCAAGGAGGGGAGGACCCCCTCCCCACCAGGTGACCGGGCTCGCGAGGGGCGACACAGGCTGCAGCAAGGACTGAAAGGTCTAGACCAAAGCATGCTCTAAACTACCAGCGCGTCCTCGGCAGCTGCCTGCGGACGGGGGGCCCGGGACGCACCTCCGGCTACGTCGGCAAAGCGCCCGGCGCCGTGGTCGGCCTCGGAGCAGCGGGAGCCACGGCCGCCCCGAGGACCAGGGACCGGACCTCCCAGGTCCCAACCTCCGACAGCGGCTGGAAGGGACACGGCGGGGCGCGCGCGAGCAGGGCAAGGGCGGAGGGACAGGTGCGTGTCCCGCGGCCTCCCCGGACACCGCGGCCAAGAAGAGAGCGCTGCTCGGAACGGCCGGGACTCCCGAGACTCACCGGACTCGCGGCCACACAGGGAGGGCTGAAGCGACAGTCAGCAGCGAGGACTCTTCATCCAAAGGCCAGCCGCGCGGGCGCTGGAGCCGGAGCAGCTCCTGGCGGCCAAGTCCCTCTCGCCCTCCACAGCCGACCCGGCTCGGCTCGGCTCGGCCCCCCGCGGCGCCCGTCCTCCGAGGCGCATGCGCCACCGGCCTGGACGGGCCCACCTGCGCGCGCGGGGGGGGGGGAGGGAGAGCGAGCGCACCGAGGCACAGCAGGGCCTCAAACCAGCAAACCGAAGCCACAAGCCAGACTTGGTGGCCGAGGTTAACTGCACTTAACGAATGGACTCTACTGACAAGAGCGATGCGAGGGCTTGGCGAGTTTCAGCCCTGCGGCTCCCCGACGCCGCTCCCTGCGCCTACGGTACAGTCCAAAGAGAGCGCCCGGCGGGGCGGGGGCGGGGCTGGAGGGCGACGGGAACCGCGATTGGTGGCTTTGAAGGAGCGGCGGGCGGGAACGGCGGCCAAGAGACTCTGTTGGAGATGACTGACTGTAAGACACCCGCGCGCGACCGGGGACCGGGCCCTTGAGTGTGGCGGGAGCCTTGAGAAGCCACATCCCAGGCTTGTGGGGCGACGTTTCCGCGACTGCCACGCGTCTCAAGGTGCGGGATCGGCGCTTGGCCTCGGGCAAGAGGTGGGGGACTACAGTTGGGACTGGGATGAGGGAGGGCCGTGGTACCGTCCGTGACGTCACATCCGCCCGCAGTGGGGCGGGGCCTAACTAGAAAGTACGTCAGCCCCGGAGCCTCCGCCGGCTGTCACGTGGCGGGTCACTTTGCTCTCCGATCCTGGGGTTGGTGCTGTCCTGGGAGTTGGTGTTTTGATTTTTTAAATCAGCCTTGGCTTCCGTTATTTTCCGCCCATGAGCTTTTAGTACTTTTCCTGATGCCCCGGTGCTGGCCTTTCCATGTAGATCTACAGAAAAGTTACCTAACAGGGCTCTTTTTTGTCATGCATTCGTTCAACAAATATCTATGTCTTGAGCTGCTGTGTGTGTGTGTGTGTGTGTGTGTGTGTGTGTGTGTGTGTGTGTTTGCGCGTGACCGGCACTGTGCTACTAAGAGCTAGAAGCGTAAAGAAATTAGTCACAGGGAATCGGGACAGTTTGCTCAGAGGTTTACCAGCTTCATTAGTGAGACTGAATGCCCTACCAAGAGTCTGTAGAATGGCATTTTGCAAACTTTACTCAAAATTAAGAATCTTCTGAAGCATTCTAAAAATGCAAGCTCTCAACGCGCAGCTGGGTGCCCCAGTCCACCCCCTCCCCCACACCCAGTGCAAATTGATGGAGCCCTGGGAATGCATTTTTACAAGCCTACCCCCCACCGCCAACGTTTTCAATGGGAGAAGTTCCTTTGATATATCACTGACTGTTGGAACCCTATTTCTTCCCAGGTTATCTCCTCAAGCGCACTGCATACCGAGAATATCTAACATTTCATTCCACGTGTATTTATCATTTAAGGATATAGCCATAAATAAGGCAAACATAGTTGCTACTCCAGTGGCTCAATATTTTAAAACCGTAATCAATAAGCAAGATCATGTTAGATAGTTCTATAAAGACAATAAGCAATGGAAAGTGGGGAGATCCCTTTTGAATGGGTGGTGAGGGGTACCTGGGTGGCTCAGTCAGTTAAACGTCCAACTCTTGGTTTCAGCTCAGGTCATGATCTCAGTGTTCGTGGGTTCAAGCCCTGAGTAGGGCTCTGCGCTGACAGCTTGGATTCTTTCTCTCTGTCCCTCCCTCTCTCTGTCTGTCTCTCAAAATAAGTAAACAAAAAAAAAAAAAAAAAAAAGAATGGGTGGTCAAGAATAAGTCTCTCTCAGTAGAAGCCATCTGAGCTGAAACTTAAATTACAAGAGATACCCAGGTGAAGATGAACCTGAACGTTCTAGGCAGGGGTAAGTGCAGGTGCAATGTGCTTTCTCTGGAAGTATCCTTCTTTTTTTTTTTTACAAATAGTTTATTGTCAAATTAGGTTCTACATAACACTCAGTGCTCATCCCCAAAGTGCCCTCCTTCATGCCCATCCCCCCTCCCCCCCACATCCATCAGTCCTCAGTTTTTGTCAGCATTCAAGAGTCTCTCATGGTTTGCCTCTCTCCCTTTCCCCCACCATTTCCCCCCTTCTTCTCCCCCTTGGTCCTCCGTCAAGTTCCTCCTAATCCTCCTATACGTGCAAACATATGGTATTTGTCCTTCTCTGCCTGACTTATTTCGCTCAGCATAACACCCTCAAGGTCCATCCATGTTGCTACACATGGCCAGATTTCATTGTTTCTCATTGCCATGTAGTATTCCATGGTATAGATAAACCACATCTTCTTGATCCATTCGTCTGTTGATGGACACTTAGGCTCTTTCCATGTTTTAGCTATTGTGGAGAGTGCTGCTATGAACATTGGGGTACATGTGCTCCTATGCCTCAGCATTTCTGTATCCCTTGGGTAAATTCCTAGCAGTGCTATTGCTGGGTCATAAGGGAGTTCTATTGTTAGTTTCCTGAGGAACCCCCACACTGTTTTCCAGAGGGGCTGTACCAGTTTACATTCCCACCAACAGTGCAGGAGGGTGCCCGTTTCTCCACATCCTCGCCAGCATCTAGAGTTCTCTGATTGGCTCATTTTAGCCACTCTGACTGGCGTGAGGTGGTATCTCAGTGTGGTTTTGATTTGTATTTCCCTGATGAGGAGGGATGCTGAGCATCGTTTCATGTGTCTGTTGGCCATCTGGATGTCCTCTTTGGAGAAGTGTCTGTTCATGTCTTCTGCCCATTTCTTCACTGGGTTGTTTGTTTTTCGGGCGTGTAGTTTGGTGAGTTCCTTATAGATTCTGGATATTAACCCTTTATCTGATATGTCATTTGCAACTATCTTTTCCCATTCCGTTGGTTGCCTATTAATTTTCTGGGTTGTTTCCTTTGCTGTGCAGAAGCTTTTAATCTTGATGAGGTCCCAACAGTTTATTTTTGCTCTCGATTCCCTTGCTTTTGGGGATGTGTCAAGTAAGAAGTTGCTGCGGTGGAGGTCAAGGAGGTTGTTTCCTGCTTTCTCCTCTAGGGTGTTGATAGTTTCCTGTCTCACGTTCAGGTCCTTTATCCATTTTGAGTTGATTTTTGTGCATGGTGTGAGAAAATGATCTAGTTTCATTCTTCTGCATGTTGCTGTCCAGTTCTCCCAACACCATCTGTTAAAAAGGCTGTCTTTTTTCCATTGGATATTCTTTCCTGCTTTGTCAAAGATCAGTTGGCTGTATACTTTTGGGTCCACTTCTGAGTTCTCAATTCTGTTCCATTGGTCTATGGGTCTGTTTTTGTGCCAATACCATACTGTCTTGAGGATGACAGCTTTGTAGTAGAGGCTGAAGTCTGGGATGGTGATACCTCCCGTTTTGGTTTTATTTTTCAGTATTACTTTGGCTATTCGGGGTCTTTTGTGGTTCCATACAAATTTTTGGATAGTTTGTTCTAGTTTTGAGAAGTATGCTGGTGCAATTTTGATTGGAATTGCATTGAATGTGTAGAGTGCTTTAGGTAGTAATGACATCTTAACTATATTTATTCTTCCTATCCATGAGCATGGAATGTTTTTCCATTTCTTTGTGTCTTCTTCAATTTCCTTCATGAGTTTTCTATAGTTTTCATCATACAGATCTCTTGTATCCTTGGTTAGGTTTATTCCGAGGTATTTTATGGTTTTTTGTGCAATTGTGAAGGGGATCAGTTTCTTGATTTCTCTTTCTGTTGCTTCATCATTGGTGTATAAAAATGCAACCGATTTCTGTACGTTGATTTTGTACCCTGCAACTTGGCTGAATTCTTGGATCAGTTCTAGTAGGCTTCTGGTGGAGTCTGTCGGGTTTTCTATGTAGAGTATCATGTCATCTGCGAAGAGTGAAAGTTTGACTTCCTCTTTGCCAATTCTGATGCCTTTGATTTCCTTTTGTTGTCTGATGGCTGATGCTAGGACTTCCAGCACTATGTTAAACAACAGTGGTGAGAGTGGACATCCCTGTCGTGTTCCTGATCTCAGGGGGAAAGCTCTCAGTTTTTCCCCGTTGAGGATGATGTTCGCTGAAGGCTTCTCATAGATGGCTTTGATGATGTTTAAGTAGGTTCCTTCTATCCCAACTTTCTCGAGAGTCTTTATTAAGAAGGGATGCTGTATTTTGTCAAATGCTTTTTCTGCATCTATTGACAGGATCATATGGTTTTTATCTTTTCTTTTATTGATATGATGGATCACATTGATTGATTTGCGAATGTTGAACCAGCCCTGTAACCCAGGAGTGAATCCCACTTGATCTTGGTGGATGATTCTTTTGATATGCTGCTGGATTCGATTTGCAAGGATCTTGTTGAGGATTTTTGCATCCGTATTCATCAAGGATATTGGCCTATAGTTCTCTTTTTTTGTTGGATCTCTGTCTGGCTTGGGAATCAGAGTGATGCTGGCTTCATAAAATGAGTCTGGGAGTTTTCCTTCGACTTCTATTTTTTGGAATAGCTTGAGAAGAATTGGGATTAATTCTGTTTTAAATGTCTGGTAGAATTCCCCAGGGAAACCATCAGGTCCAGGGCTCTTATTTGTTGGGAGATTTTTTATCACTGATTCGATTTCTTCACTCGTTATGGGTCTGTTTAGGTTTTCTATTTCTTCCCGTGTGAATTTTGGTAGTGAGTGTGTGTTTAGGAATTTGTCTGGAAGTATCCTTCTGTACTAGAGGAAATAAATGCCAATGAAGCTGGAGTTCAGAAAGCCAGAGAGAGAGAGAGAGTGATAGATGATAGGGAGGGAGGCAAGAAGCAAACACAGGGCCTTATAGACCATGGTGAGGATTTTAGTGTTGACATTAAGGTAGGTTGGTCCTGTATCCAAATAAGAAAACAAATCAAACTCAATTTTAATGATCTTGATTCTTTTCTCCTGTTCTTAATTATTTTTCTCTTTCTAAATGACTCCTAATAGTTACTTTTTTTTTTTTTTGTAACTATTGTTTTCAGTATCTTCCTAAAATCCAATCGACTATTAGTATCTTTTTGGAAGCAGACAATGGTAATAGATTATATGCAATGTTAAGCAAACACTCAAGTGGTAGCAATGAGTCACAAACCTGATTCCTGTAGAGGGATACTTCTCTTTTTGTCCTTGCTAATCTCATAGGCATGGTGGAAGCAGATGAGATTGACAGACTGACTCTAGCTTCTTTTCTTAAATATGTACACCAAGGTTTATATGTTCTTTCTTGCAAGATAGGCAGAGAATTAATATTTAAATTCTACAGGTATCTTGCTTAATCTTTGTTGAGAAACCATGCTTGGTTTTTATGTGCCATAGTTTTTTTGAGTTTATTTATTTTGAGAGAGAACATGCCTGCATACATGTGGGGGAAGGGCAGAGAAAGAGAGAGAGAAAGAGAGGGGGTGAGGGGAGAGAGAGAATCTAAAGCAGGCTCCATGCTGCCAGCACAGAGCCCAACACAGAGCTCAAACCCACAAAAGACAAGACCACGACCTGAACCAAGATCAAGAGTTTGATGCTTAACTAACTGAGCCACCCAGGCACCCCTCTGTACCATATTTTAAAATGGGGGGCAGGGGGAAGATGCCTGTCAGTGTCCTCAAATGAAGTAACAGGGTTGAGATCCGCTGTCCCCCTTGACCCAGAAGGTCTCAGAAACCCCCTTCCCAGTGCCACAGCTGTACGATAGCTACTGTGCGATGCTCCCAAAGGTCATTGCCCTTATCTGTTGCTGAGGGAGCCATACCAGACTGGGGGCTGAAGAGACAGCTGAAGAATCTGACTGTCAGGCACCAGGCAGGAAAAGTGAGGTAGCAGCACTATGTTAATTGGTAACGTCTTAAATGAGAAAGAGACTGCAATCCTCTTCGTCTCCACCTCTTATGTGTCCTCTAGACTCATACATTCCACTGTTTACCAGTATCTCCTCTTGGAGCCTAACAATTAGCCTTAAAATGTCCATGTTCCAAACGGCCTTCTTGAGCTTTCCTCTGCCCACACCTCCAGTCTTCCCCAACTCAGGTAATTAATAGTGACTCTGTTCTTGCAGCTGCCTGGTACAAACATTGGTATCACCTTTGATCCCTCTTTCCCTCGCACCCCACATCTAGTTCATGAGGAAGTCCTGTGGGCTCTTTCTTAAAAGCATATCCAGAATCTGACCTCTTCCCATGCCCCCCTCCTCGGTCCCCCATCATCTCCTACCTGCATTGCAGCAGCCTCCTACCTGGCTTCCTGCTTCCACCCTCCACCCCCTCCAAGACAGTAGCCAGATTGATCCTGCGAGAAAACCTAAACAGTAATATATCCCACCTTTTCTCAGGACCTTCCAGCAGCCAGTGTCTATCAACCAGTGTCTTGTGACCCCTGGGCCCTCCATGTTCTCTGACCTCATTACCTCCTCTGTGCCTCCTTACTCTCCACTCTGGCCTCACCGGAGGCATCCTTCACATCCTTCACTGTTCCTTGAAAACCCCAGGGCTTTTGCACTTGCTGTTCCCTCTGCCTAGCAAGTGCTTTCACCAACTAGCCACGTGGCTCACTCTTTCTTCCAAGTATGGGCTGAAATGTCACCTTCTGTATGAGGCCTACTTGCTCTACCCCCACCTTCCCCACCTCCTTCCCAGCTTGCTCCGCTTTAACTACCTTTCGTTTCCTAACATTGCTCCGTTCTCTCTGGAGCACTTACCACTTTTAACACATTTTGTGATTTTCTTGTGGCCCCTCTCTCCCCACTAGAATGGATGCTCACACTAATAGGGATTTTTGTCTTTTTTCTTTTTAAGTTTATATTTATTTATTAGAGAGAGAGAACGAGCGGGGCAGGAGCCAGGGGAAGGGGGCGGACAGAGGATCTGAAGTGTGCTCTGTGCTAACAGCAGAGAGCCCGATGCAGGGCTCAAACTCACAAACTGTGAGCTCATGACATAAGCCAAAGTCTGATGTTTAACTGACTGAGCCACCCAAGCGCCCCGGGATTTTTGGCTTTTAGGTTAAAGATATATCTCTCCCCCGTGCCTACCAAAGTGCCTGGAACGCATCGGTGCTCAGATTCTATTACGTGAATCAGTAAATGAATGAATGATTTACGTGTTGTTCCCATCAAAAGATCAAAAATACTCTAGCCTGTCAAGGAGTGGGAGCACTAATTTTTAAAACCTCCAAAGCCATTTAAATATGTAGCTCAAGGAGAAAAGAATCAAATCCTCCTTTTGAAACACTCTCTGCAGAGTGCCTGAAATAAAAGGTAAATGTTTGGGTGTTTGACCTACAAATCAAAATCCTGGCTAAACATATATGAAAAGTTCAGTTGAGTTAAACTTTGATGTTAATAATTAATTAATACTTTGCTGTGCTGTTTTTGCTTTTATTAAAGTGCCAAAGAGATGGATGAAACTGTTGCAGAATTTATCAAGAGGACCATCTTGAAAATCCCAATGACTAAAATGATGACAATCCTCAAAGCCTGGGATTTTTTGTCCGAAAATCAACTGCAGACCGTAAACTTCCGGCAGAGAAAGGAATCTCTCGTTCAGGACTTGGTTCTGCTCTGTGAGGTAACAGTGCTCAAAATGATATACCTTAAGCATCATGCAGCCCCTTTGGTTTTTTCTTTTAATAATATTTTTTAATAATAAAGTTTTTTTTTTTTTTTTTAATGTTTTGAGAGAGAGAGAGCATTAGCTGGGGTGGTGCCGAGAGGGAGAGGGACAGAGGGTCTGAAACAGGCTCTGCACTGACGGCAGCGAACCCAATGTGGGGTTCAAACTCAACAGACCATGAGATCATGACCTGAGTTGGACGCTCAACTGACTGAGCCACCCAGGCACCCCAAAGGTTTTCTTTTTTAACAATTTTTATTGATTTATTTCAAGAGAGCACAAGTTGGGGAAGGGGGAGAGAGAGAATCCCAGGCAGGCTCCACACGGTCAGCATAGAGCCCAGAGCAGGGCTTGATCTCACATACTGTGAGATCATGACCTGAGCCAAAATCAAGAGTCAGACACTTAACTGACTGAGGCCCCCAGGCGCCCCACTTCCTTTTTTGAGTCCAAAAGAAATTTAGTGCAGCTGCTAAGCCATGAAGGGTTGTGGCCTATGTACTACAGCGAGGAAGAACCTAGTTTTTCATTGGCTTTTTCAACTTCCAAAGAATGCCTACATATCAGTAAGAAAGTGACCACTATGGGGGAAAATGCAATCCATACAAGTTAAAATAATGACCTATCAGATTGTCAAAGATGAAAAAATAATACTCAGATGTGTTGGTAAAGTTATATGGAAAGAGACCCCCCTTTCACATATATTTATTAACTTTTTGTTTTAAAACAGTTTCAGATTTTCAGAAAAGTTACAAGCATAGTACAAAGAACTTTCATATTCCTGTACCTTCTTCCCTCATTCACTTTTAAATAGATATGCTTTAGGATCCAGCAATTGCACTATGGGAGATTTATATAGAAAAATGAATAAAAATCAAGGAGGTAGGGCCACCTAGGTGACTCAGTCGGGTAAGCGTCCAACTTTGGTTCAGGTCATAATCCTGCAGTTTGTGGGTTTGAGCCCTGCATCAGGCTCTGTGCTGACAGCTGGGAGCCTGGCGCCTGCTTTGGGTTCTGGGTCTCCCTCTCTCTTTCTGCACCTCCGCTGCTTGGGCTCTCTCTCTCTCTCTCTCTCTCTCTCTCTCTCTCTCACACAGAAATAAACGTTAAAAAATGTTTTTTTTTTTAAAAACAAGAAAGTATATATAAGTATTATAAGTGATATTCGTATACTTAGGTACAAACATGCAAATATTTATACATAAATAAGGATGTTAAGTAGCCTTGTTTAAAAAACAAAAACTGGGAAACCACTAAACATAGGACAATAAATAATGTTACGTCCACGTAACCACGTATTCTTCAGCCATTAAAGAGGATAAACTAGATCTTTATGTACAACGTTGAAAAACAATATATAATATGCACGTACGTACATGTATAGAGCAGTGGTTCTCAACTAGGACGATTTCGCCTCCAGTGTCTGGAGACATTTTTGGTCGTCAGACCTGTGGGAGTACTACTGTCTCCTGTGGGGCAGAGACCAGAATGTTCCTTAACACCCTAGGACAGCCCTCCACACTCTGAATGGCAGTCGTGCCCTGACGTGGAGGAAGTTTAGAGGGATACAGCTGATTAAAAAACAAAACAGGAAGTTGAAAGTGATAAAGGAGGAGTAAACCCTAGAGGGGGAAGAGTGGAGAGTGCGTGAGTGAGCCAGGTGTGTCTGCCACTTGGCAAGAGAGCAGAGACGGGTGACACCTGTTCTAAGCAACCCAAAAATGTGCCATAAATGGAGCAGAACACAACTATCCCCACGTTCACTCAATACTTTGTCTTCTCTTTCAGAATAAGCGCGCAAGTCTCCATGACGCAGCCCTCTTAGACATCATTTGTGAGTGTCGGTGATTTGTGTTTACACTTACCCCGTCCCCTTATGTCAGAGAGGCAGCTCTGATGTCAGTCAGGTGGCCCTGGCTTCAGCCCCTCCTCTGTCATGTACCAGTCTCGGGTCCTTGCCCAAGTCCCATGGCCTTGCTGGGCCTCGACTCCGCCCTACAAAAATGGAGAAAACAGTAGTACCGGCTTCACAGGGTCATTGGAAGGGTGAAATAAGAAGATGCTTGAAAAGCTCCTGTGGCACGGGCACGGGCACACAGTAAGCACATAGTAAATGTTCGTTAGGCTCTGGATCATTATTAACAGAATTTGAAAGTTTATTTCTGAAAATTTGTTCCTATTGCAGTAACTTGTTACCGCTCCTCCCCTTCCATTTCTTTGTTTGTTTGTTTTTTCCTCTTTGTGTCCTAGGTTTCTTCTCTGTATTTTCTTTTTTAAGATGTTTACTTCCCTCAGCAGGAGGCAACAGACTGTGGGGTCTAAGAACACAGGCCAGATTTCTTGGGTTCAGTTTATGGCTCTGCCATTGTCTCCCCGTGAGTCCTGGCGGAGGCCATTGACCTCTCTCTGCCTCAGTGTTATCATTGGACAAACCTGTATAGTAATGATGATATCGCCGAAGGTGACAGTGAGGATAAAATAAGAGTCCAGGTCATGTTCTTAAAACAAAGCCTGGTTGGGGCACCTGGGTGGCTCAGTCAGTTGAGCATCTGACTTTGGCTCAGGCCAGGATCTTGCGGTTCGTGAGTTCAAGCCCCACATCAGGCTCTGTGCTGACAGCTCAGAGCCTGGAGCCTGCTTCAGAGTCTGTGTCTCCCTCTCTCTCTGCCCCTCCTCTACTCACATTATCTCTCTCTCAAAAATAAATAATAAACATTTAAAAAAATTTTTTTAATTAAAAAAACTCTTCTTTTAAAAAAAAGCCCAGTAATTACTAATTAATCATTATCAATTGATATTAACTGCCTCTGTGACCTGGGGCATAACAAAATTCATCTTTATATTCTGCTCCAACTACAAAATAGCTGAATTCATTTAGCACATCTGCCTCTGGTTAAGTCTGTCTCATTTTCAGTGACTGGATGATATCTGGACTTTAAGAGGTAGATCCACATAGTTCCCCTTTCTCACGCATCTGTTCAGATGTTCACTGAGCACTACCACGCAGCAGGCTATATGCCAGCCACTGCTGGGTCAAACAGGTTGATTCATACTCTCTTAAGAGGTCCCAGTGTTACGGGGGAGACAGGTTACCGAGTCACACAAATACATTCTCACGGACTGTCGCAGGTTTTGGGAAGGAGAAAGCACAGGGAGTCTAAGAGAGCAGAGTGGGATCGGCCACACCAAGGGTTCAGGAAAGACTTCCTTGAAGTCATGAGCTAAGAGCTACAAAAGATGAGTGGCATTAACTAGGCAAAGGGGAAAGGGGACATGAAGGAGAGGAGGGCAGAGTGCACAGCACCAGAAGTCTTGGAGCAGGAGGGGCAAGTTGAGGAGCAGAGCGAAGGCGGGAAATGCGAGCTCAGTGGTGCAGGAGGGAGTCTGAGTCAATGAGGCATAGGTAGGTGGATGATTCAGACACCTAGAAGCCCCTCGAAGGATTTCACACTTTATTCTAAGAATAATGCAAAGCCTTCCAAAAATTATGAGCAAGAAAAGAATAACGTTCTTGTTTTTTCAAAGCTCCCTGGTTACAGTGCAGAGACAGAGACCAGGGTGGACTAGAGAGACTTAACAGCATCCAAGCAAGAGAGGAAGGTAGCCTGGATGAGATGGGGGCGGGGGAGGGGGGGATGGAGAGAAGAGAGCGAGGCCAGGAGATGCAAGGGTTAAAGCAGACTGGGCTTGCTGGTGGCTTGGTCCTAACAGAGTGAGCAGGACCAGTGCCCGGCTCCCGCTCCAGGTAGTGCTAAGTGCTAAATGCTACAGAGGAAAGCAATGCAGGGCGGAGGGCGGGTGGATTTGGGCACGGGTTCCGGGCAGGACGCTCTACATAGGTGGCCTCTCAGTAGAGACCAGAATGAGGTGCACCTCGAGCCAGGAGAAGAGGGCTCCTGACGAAGGGAACGGCCGATGCGAACACCCGTCATGAGGAGCACCACATCTCCATCGTGCCGGGCGAGTGCGGTGTTCAGGGGGGTAGACCCGCGTGGGGATAGAAGAAGTGGTCTAAGTAAGAGTAAATGCGAAATCTCTACTGTACTGAGTAATTCTTTATGATCTGTTTTAGTTGTCCAGAGCAAATGTAATCCACACAAAATTTACACTGGCATAAAAATGCGTATGAACTAATGTTTAAATTACTGTTATTTTCTCTGGCATCATATTACATTAAATACATATTTAGAATATGTATGTATAAGCACATTACTTGAGAGTCCTGTAATATAATAGTTACAGTTCTTTCTCCCTCTCTCAGATACTCAATTTCATCAGCATCAGAAAGTCTGGGATGTTTTTCAAATGAGTAAAGAACCAGGTAATGTTTTCCATTATATTTTATTTTATTTATTTATTTACTTACTTATTTTTAGTAATCTCTACACCCAACATGGGACTCGAACTCACAACTCCCCCGAGAACAAGAGTCACATGCTTTGCCATCTAGGCCAACTAGGCACCCCAGTGTTTCCCATTTTAAACTGAAATTTGTATTTTATATTTTGGCAATTTTAAAATGAATAGTAGTATGTTCCTCTTAAATGTCTCTTCTTTCAGGGCACCTGGGTGGCTCAGTTGGTTAAGTGTCCGTTTCTCTTTCAGGTCATGATCTCACGGTTCATGGAATTGAGCCTCAAGTCAGGCTCTGTGCTGACAGTGCAGGGTCTGCTTAGGGTTCTGTCTCTTTCTCCCTCTCTCTGCCCCTCCCCTGCTCACGCTCTCTCTTTCACTCTGTCTCTCAAAATAAATAAATAAACCTTAAAAAATTAATTTAAAAAGTCTCCTCTTTCAAAATGAGGAATTTCAAAATTACTCTTTTGTGGGAAAAATGAGAACTATATTCAGCGACACTGTGTCCAGGGTACAGGCAGTGGCAATGTGATTACTCCAGTGTCAGTCTTCGAGGTCACACAAAACGCTTACCTCCAGAATCCTCACAAACGTTTTTCTTGAACATTTGTCTTTATTGATTTGTCTTTTCTTTTGACTTTGACAGGTGAAGACGTTGACCTTTTTGATATGGAACAATTCAGAAGGTCCTTTGAGAAAATCCTTCGGAGAGCATTAAAAAATGTAAGAATAACATTTATCTGAATTTCCATGAAATTCAATTTTGAGGCATCTGTGCAGTTAAAATTTGCTTCTACCCTGGAGTTGTTTTTTTTTTTAATTTGTAAGAATTTTAGTTAGTAATGTTCCATACTATTCTAGGCCAGATCAAAGATAAATCCTATTCATTATAAAAACTTCCCTCACCCCTCACCTGTCAGTTCAGGGCCAGACGCTTCTCTCTCTAGAGGAGCACCACGTACCAGAACTGCCTGCAGTGATGGAGATGTTCTGTGTCCATGCTGTCTGGTACACGGGCTGGTAACCACATGTGGCTGTGGAGCCGTTGAAACGTGGCCAGCGTGACCGAGGAACGATTATGTCAGTCTCACGTGACTGCGGTGAATTCTAGGCCCGCGGCTACGGTATTGGTCAGCGCGGCTCTGGAGCACCCACAGTCTTCAGCTCCCTTCCATCCTCCACAAGTACCACCCACTCTCTTCTCGCAGGTGGAGGCGATCACGTTTTTAACAGCCTCACTTACTTCTTTCTGTTCCCACCTCCTCCGCCTTAGTCCTCCTTGCATAGAAAGACATGTCCAAACACCTGTCACTGTCACCGTGCTCTGGCCGCCTGCTCCAGAATAGGGGTGTTCCCTCTTCATACACAGACTCCGTGACCTGGTCTTTCTGTCTCCGCAGCTCACGCTCTGTGACGTCTGTCGTACTTGTATCCACCCCCTCGTCACTGAGGATCTTCGCTCATTTCCTTTCTTACAGAGGCCCTTCTGTGTGAGGTTTGAATCCACCCCCCGCATCCTCAGAGGGCCCACCTGCCCTGTTCTCTGATCTCTATCCCATTTGTAATCACTTTTCTACCACTCTCCACTCTACTGCTTTTAAACCTGTTCTGGTGTCGGTGGAACGACATCCATTCTCCAGCTCATCCTCAAGCTCACTCTTGGGGGGAAATATTTATTTCTTGCCCCGGATGTGTCCCTCACAGGGAGGGGTCCCATGGGCCCATTGACGCCAGCGTCCCTCCACCATCCCCTTCGCCTTTCTCTGGCAGGAGCATCGCACCTGAATGAGAACAGGTGCTCACGGGGACACCTATTCTGGTCTGTTCAGCCAGAGGCAGCTCCGCCCCAGCCAGCGGGGGCTTCCCAGAGTGGTTCTGCCACCATGCCCATGTGGGCAGCTCTGCCTGACTCTGGATTTTGTTGTCCGGAGGGCCACCTGCCTGTGGATATGGCCAGTCACCATTTCTTGGTAAATATGTGTTGGCCTTACCTGTCAACTGTTTTGCTTTATTTCTCAGTTGATCCAGAAGGACAGGGAAGAGGGGTGGTATTTAGTGGCCCCCTTCAAAGACCTTCCCAAAAAGACCCTTTGAAAGGGTAATGCATCCTTGCTGGCTTCATGCTTAAGCCCCTTCCGTTCTTTTTTTTTTTTTTTTTTTTTACTGTCTTTATTTTATTTTGAGAGACAGAGACAGAGAGCGAGTGGGTGAGGGGAAGAGAAAGAGGGAGACACAGGATCTGAAGCAGGCTCCAGGTTCTGAGCTGTCAGCACAGAGCCCGACACGGGGCTCAAACTCACAGACTGGGAGATCATGACCTGAACCAAAGTCAGACGCTTAACTGACTGAGCCACCCAGGCGCCCCAAGCCCCTTCCATTCTGGCCACTGCTCTTGCTGCCATATTGAAACTGAATTTTGAAAGGCGACAGTTCTCACAGTGTGATCCCTGGAGCAGCTGCATCAACGTCACCCGGGAACGTATTAGACATGCAGATACTTGGGCTCCCTCAGACGCTGTAAGGGCAGGCCGGAGCCCTCCAGCTGCTTGCTAATGCCCAGTGAGGTTTGAGAAGCTGCCTATTCGGGGGCACCAGTGACATCATAATATCCCACGGCCTGTTCTCTTTCAACAGGAATGCCAATTGCAAACACTGCTGTGTGCCGGGCCCTGGGCTGAGCCCTTGCCATTCACTAACTCCCTGCACCCTCCTGACGAAGCATGGTGGGTCCCACAGGGGCAGAGGGCAAAGCCACCATTTCAACCCAGGCAGGTGGCTTCGAGGTCATGCTCTTCACATGTACACTGGCAGGCTCTTGCACCCTCATCTCCACCATGTTCCAGATGCACAACGCCCGTGGCTCGGGCTGGGGAAGGTCACGTGTCAGAACTGGCATCAAACCCTCTCGATCCCGAGTCTCTGTCTTTTCCCGGTGGTCGTCGGCCCCCTCCTAAACTGCTCCTCAGGTTCTCGATGACCAGCCGCTGCCCTTTCCTCCGGCCCTGGCCCTTCGCTGGAGCATCACCACAAGGCTCTGCCCTCAGCCCTCCCCTGGGGTGTTCCGGTTGTGGGAGGAGACGAGAGCGGTGGTGACGGAGTCATTTATCGTTTCCCTCTAAGAAGCTAATCAGTTGTCCCAACACCGTTTGTAGGACTAATTTAGCTTTTTCTACTGGTTTATTATCATTGGCTTCCTCAGATCCATTCACACTTTTGGGGTCCATGCTCTGCTCATGATGTGTTTCTCCTCGGGCTATCCTGGGTCCCCAGCCTGCATGTCAGGTTCACCACCTGTAGTCCACACTCCGTGAAACCAAACCGGTCTTCTTGAAGCTCTTGAAATTGCCATAGGCTGTTCCCTTTCCTTGAAACGACCTCCCTGACCTTGCCTTTGCACAGCTCACTCTTCCATAGCTTTACTGGCTCCCTCAGGGAGTGTCCCTGATCCCCCTGGAGGGCTGTCCCCTGGAGTGTGCTCCTGTCACCATACGCCTCCTACTTCCTGCTTTAACTGTCAGCCTTCCTCCGGATGCATAGTCTCCTTGAGAGGAAACGACCATTCTGCTCACCTCTGATAGCATGAATGCATTGGGCATGGTCTTTGCAAATTCCTCATTCCTTTAATTGCTGCAGTTTTGTAAGTAGTTAAGGATGCCTGGGTGGCTCACTCTGGTGATCATCTGACTCTTGATTTCAGCTCAGGTCATGACTTCATAGTTTCGTCAGTTCGAGCCCCACATTGGGCTCTGTGCTCTCTCTCTCTCGCTCTCACTCTCGCCCTCACTGTCTCTCTTTCTCTCTCAAAATAAAGTGGGGGAGGTGAGGAGAGACGGGCAGAGAGAGAATCCAAGCTCCACACTGTCAGCACACAGCCTGATGTGGGGCTCGAACTCCAGAATCATGAGATCACCACCCGAGCCAAAGTTGGACGCTTTACCGACTGAGCCACTCAGGCGCCCCTCAACTGCTAGATTTCTTCTCTTCCATCACTGCTGTGTTCCAGAAGATTTTCCCTCCTGAATGAATTTCAGGCAGACTGGTGGGAAAGACAGGAAGAACAAAGGAGCTCTTTTATGGGCCGAATCTTCCTGCTTGAAAGGCTGGCAAAGGCCCAACACCTCTGTGTCTTCCCTGTCTCCCCTGTTCCGCTGCCACGAGCTGGCCCACATATGCTAAACCGTTTCTCAACTGACCGAGGACTCCCAGCCCAATTAACTTTCCTCTTCCTAACTTAACGAGCAGCTGGATAACCCCACTTTCCCAAAGGCTGCAGACGGTGATGTCACGCCACACAGAGCCTTGACATAGTAACTTGCCTGCTCTTCTAGAACAGGTATCTTAGCCTTTCTGCGCCAAAGATCCCTTTTGCTGTCAGTGAGGTTTATGGATCACTTCTTGAAAATTATTTTTAAATACTATAATATAAAGAATTAAAAGGAAAACCAAATGCATTAAAATACCATTATTAAGGTTATTAAAATGCAATTATTAAAGGTCTTAAATACCAAGTTGTGCCGTAGTACTCATGTGCTTCTTTATTAACACCATAAATAATCTCACAGTAGGTCTAAAAACAACTAGTTTCAAAGTAGTGATGGCATAAATGATATTTTTGAGGCATGAGCAATGCTACAATGGGGTGAAATATATTTGGGATTTCTACAGACAACAAAGTAACAGTTCCCAACATTCTACTGTTTCGTTGCCTACCTTCGGGATTAAAGAAGAGGCCAAAGTCCAGTTAGTTTGTAGATCTGCTGGTTCTGATGAGGGCCTTCAGGTTAGGAACTCCTGCCCTTGAACCAGTTGGGTAGCGAAGCTGATGTGAGAGGGAGCAGGGAGCCTAAGTGGAGGGTAATGGATGGAGCCTGTGCTCCAGGGGATCTGATCCAGAGCCTTTGAGAGGATATGTGTCTCTGTATGCAGGGCTGAGAGAGACAGGGAGAGAGCGAGAAAGAGACATTAGCTATATGTCTTACCAGGTAAAACTATTCAAAATACATTGTTCTTAAGAAACTTATTAATAGGGGCACCTGGGTGGCTCAGTCGGTTAAGTATCCAACTTCGACTCAGGTCATGATCTCATGGTTTGTGGGTTCGAGCCCCATGTCAGGCTCTGTGCTAACAGCCCAGAGCCTGAAGCCTGTTTCAAATTCCGTGTCTCCCCCTCTCTCTCTGCCGCTGTCCTGCTTGCACTTTGTCTGTCTCTGTCTCTCTCTCTCTCAGAAATAAACAATAAGCATTTAAAAATCTCAAAAAGAAAACTTATAAAGAAAGAAGAGAGAAACTAAAAAATATGTTTCAATTGTAAAGGATAGCACCTTTTCTCTCCTTTTTTATGCCTGTACATCATGTAATACTATATTGATAGTCTTTGCTAAATATATTAACATACTTCAGTACGTAGCAATTCTGTGCATTGTAAGCTTCATTTGTCTCCCATGCTAAACTTTGTTCTGAGATGTTCAGTAGCTTGTGAGTCATGGCCAGTTATGAGCAGGTTATGGCCAAGGTAGCCCTGGCCAGCAGTACCAGTCCCAGGTTAGCCAACCACTTAGGACACGCAGCTGGACTTATCTCCTAGTTCGGCTTGAACAGTATTAATCGCAGCTATCCTCAGTGAAAGGTGCTTTATCCTGGCTATTTAAGGATGATATCTGCTAAGGTAGTTTCTTAGGAAAATAGTAAAGGTCTGCATTTGGGCCCTCCCTCTTCAAGTATCTGAATATCATCTTTACTAGAAGAATGTGAGACAGAACATCTTAGCCTGTTGATTTTTAACCTTTCTTTGGATCATAGACCCTTATGAACATTGTGGTAAGTGATCCAGCACCCTTCTTCATGAAAGCGTGTGTGTGCCCGACCACGTATTCAATTTCGGAAGGACACAGACCTCCTTTAAGCTTCTCCACAAGCCCTTGCTTACCTTATCCTCATTCTAGACTGGAGAAGTTACCCGAATATGTTGAGTTGCAACCAATATTTTCCCTCTGGTAAAAATGTGCCCTCCATGTAGTGCATTCAATCTTGATTTTACAGGCTTTGCTCTTGTAACGTAACACAGAGAGGCTATCCAGAATAAGACCCTGCCCTCTTCTTTCAAGCCAGCTGAGGCCCGCTGAGCGCCTGTCGGGGCCAAGTGCAGTGCTGCTCACCTGGGCGGGTCAGAGAGCCCCGCATCCTCCACACCCCAGACAGGGGAGGGTCCCTCGTCTCATATACTGAGGGAATGTGGGAAAGCAGCCAGATGAAGAGTGGGCAGAGTCGGAGTAACTGCCTTCTTTGCTAATGCCAGCAGCCACATTACCACCTGCTTTCTCGGCAGTGCGATCCAAGAGGGAGGAAGTAGAGACGTGGGCAGGCCAAATGCATCTGTGTCGGTGCCTCCTTTCCAGGGTCTGACTTCCAAGGGAAAGCTGAATTGTGGGGCAGCTAAGAATCTAGGAGGAGGCCATTAAATTCCAAACCAACTGGCAATTACATTTAAAAGTTTAGAAAGATCTGTGTTTTATCCATGAAATGGAAACCAAATAGAATTTTCTATATTCTTGCCACGTAACTTTAGAGTAATTGTTAGCATCTGAGCTAAATGGATAAGAGCATTAGGGTTAATATATTTGAGCTCATTACTACAGAGAAATCTTACTATTAAACTTTACAGTGCACACTAGGTCTGTGCTTGATGCCAAAAAGGTTTCATTATAAAACAGGTGCGTCATTTGTAAGCTTGCCTTACTTCAACTCTTAGAGGTCAATGAACAGTTTTTCAGGACAAGCCCAAGAAATTGCTCAAAAATTGTGATACCATGATTGTAGGATTTAAAATTTCTTTTCCTTCTGGGGCACCTGGGTGGCCCAATCAGTTAAGCGCCTGACTTTTGCTCAGGCCATGGTCTCATGGTTCGTGAGTTTGAGCCCCACATCGGGCTCTCTGCTGTCAGCACAGAGCCCACTTCGGATCCTCTGTCCCTCTCTCTCTCTGCCCCTCCCCTGTTAGCACATGCTCTCTCTCAAAAATAAATATTTTTTTAAAAAATAAAATCAAATTTGTTTTCCTTCCAAAAGACTGTGCAAGGCATAAATGGATAATTGCAAACAACCACAAAATCTTTTCCCAAAGATTCCCAAAACACTGTACTGAAAAGTAGAAGAGGCTCTCCCAGATCTCAGCCTGTGTGCGAGGTTACACAGATATCCTTCACCCCTAAGCAGCACTAGTTGTTGGTGCTACAGATTTTTTTAATTATGACTTTTCTTTTTTTAAAGTAATCTCTAGCCCAATGTGGGGCTTGAACTCACAGCCCCAAGATCAAGAGTCACATGCTGTACCGACTGAGCCAGCCAGGCCCCTCCGGTGCCACAGATTTTAATTAGGAAACTTAAATCTTTTTTTTTTCTTTTTTTATTATTAAGGTGACGGTCAGTTTCAGAGACGCTGAGGAGAATGCAGTATGGATTCGAATTGCCTGGGGAACGCAGTTTAGAAAGCCAAACCAGTACAAACCTGTTTATGTGGTATATTATCCCCAGACTCCCTACGCCTTCACTTCCTTCTGCCAGCTGAGAAGCAACATGCCCCTTCTGGGTCAGGTACGGAGCCATCACCACGAGCTATAGTATGTCACTCCCCTTGTCTCATAGGTCTGTGTAGGTCTAAACTGCTCAATAGGCATTGCATAAGGAATGCCACGTGTAATTCTTGATTTCCTAAAATAAGGAGCAGAAAGTATTCTACAGATGGGGGCATATAACACAAGTATTGGTTTGGAGCTCTCTGATTGTCTTTCCATCTAGAAGCAGTGTGCACTTCAGAGAAGGAAACTACCAACAGAACTAAAAGGCAGCCTACGGAATAGGGGAAGATATTTGCAAATGACACATCTGATAAAGTGTTAGCGTCTAAATCTTTAAAGAACCTATGAAACTCACCACCCAGGAAACAAACAATCCAGTGAAGAAATGGGCAGAGGACATGAATAGAGACATTTCCAAAAAAGACATGGAAAGATGCTCAACATCACTCATCATCAGGGAAATACAAATCAAAACCACAATGAGGTGACCACCTCACCCCTGTCAGAATGGCTAAAATTAACAACACAAGAAACCACAGGTGCTGGCGAGGATGCGGAGAAAGAGGAACCCTCTTGCACTGCTGGTGGGAATGCAAACTGTTGCAGCCACTCTGGAAAACAGTATGGAAGTTCCTCAGAACCTAAAAATAGAACTACCCTATGATTCAGCAATTGGCACTACTAGTATTTATCCAAAGGATACAAAAATACAGATTTGAAGGGGCATGTGCACCCCAATGTTTATAGCAGCATTATGTAAAATAGCCAAAGTATGGAAAGAGCCCAAATGTCCAACAACCGATGAATGAATGGATAAAGAAGAGGTGGTATCTATATATAATGGAATATTACTCAGCCATCAAAAGAACAAAATCTTGCCATTTGAAACAATGTGGATGGAGCTAGAGTATATTATGCTAAGTGAAATAAATCAATCAGAGAAAGACAAATACCATGTGATTTCACTCATATGTGGAGTTTAAGAAACAAAACAGATGAACATATGGATGGGGGGAGAAAAGAGAGAAAGGGAAGAAAACCATGACTAAAGAGAACAAACCAAAGGTTGATGGAGGGACGTGGGTGGGGGAGTGGCCAAATGGGTGGTGGGTATTAAGGAGGGCACTTGTGATGAGCACTGGGTGCTTTATGTAAGTGACCAACCACTGAACTCTACCTGAGACCACTACTAAGCTATATGTTAACTAGCTAGAATTTAAATAAAAATTTGAAAAGAAAAATAAAACTAGAAACAAATGATGGTAAAGCAACGGGACATCCACATGCAAAAAAAGAATCTTGTGTAGACTTTGTACCCTTCACCAAAATTAACTCAGAAATGGATCACCAGTAAATCTAAAATACAAAACGATAAAAACTCCTGGAAGGTAACAGGAGAAAACCTCCATAGCCGTGGGTGCGGCAATGATACTTAGAGACAACACCAAAAGCACAATCCATTATAGAAAAATATATCATAATTGGTAAGCTGGACTTCATTAAAATTAAAACTTCGGCTATGCAAAAGATGACATCAGGAGAATTAGAATACAGGCCACAGAGCGACAGAAAATACTTGCAAAAGACGCATCAAATAAGGGATGGCCTGTACCATGATTTGTCGGCCTGTTACCCAGTGTACAAGTGGGCAAGAACTGTTCTGGGATCCTTGGCAAGTGGTGCCAGAGTCCACTGCTTGCACAGGGGCACTTTCTGAATAGATGCTGGATTGTAATTGTTAAAATAGGGAACAGAGGGGCGCCTGTGTGGCTGTCGGTTGAGCGTCCGACTCTTAATTTCAGCTCAGGTCATGATCCCATCGAGCCCAGTGTTGGGCTCTGCACTAAGCATGGAGCCTGCTTGGGATTCTCTCTCTCTACCCCTTTCCCCTGCTCACACATTCTCTCTCTCTGTCTCTCTTAAATAAAAAAAAAAAAAGGAACAAATAAAGGGACACATGATGCAAAAATAACTGGAAAACAGCCACCAAGTGAGTGAATTCTGTGGTTCTTATGTATAACCACAATTATATTTTCATATAATTATCTTGTTGTAAAGTAAATCACAAAATATGTAGGATATCATAACCTCAGTTTGTCAAACTCAGAATCTTGGATTCTGCCCTCTACCATCGTAAAGTATTATTATTGCCACCTTTCATCATCAATCATTTCCTTGTGTGGGAATTATATAAATGGTTACCTTACATATAAGAAAAAGAAGAAGAAGTAATGTGTGCTTAATGCCAAAATTCAACCACATATTATAGATATTATAAATATCGGGATAAACACGGTAATCCTCATAGTCTTGCTAATTTTCACTTCCAGGCACTGACGGTTGCTAGCAATCACCATAAGATTGTGAAAATGGACCTCAGAAGCCGCTATTTGGACTCTCTGAAGGCTATTGTTTTCAAACAGTATAATCAGGTGAGCCCATCAGTGACTCTCTGTGAAGTTGCATCTCCATTTTCTCCTTCACACTTGAATTAGAAGCATCTGAGCAGGTGGGAAAGTCCACCCCCAGCAGAAGGAAATCTCCAGATATTACTGAGAAAGCTCTCAGTCACCATGAAAGAAAACAATAGTTCCCCACTATCATCTTGTTATAATTGCATTGTGTTCTACCCTGCTCATCAGTCATTAGAGCTTACGTGATAGAGCCCAGTTTCCAAATTAGCAATTCCAGTTAGAAGTTCTTCTATCTTTAGGGGAATCTGACACTGTCTTTGAAGCTAAATTCTGTTACTCCATTATGCAAGACAGAAGCGGAATTAACTTTTGTCCCATCAGTCAAGCAGGTGATACAAGAGTTACAAGGAAAGGAGAAAGCATTGGTTTATTAAGGCCCACAATTTATTTATTGTTAAAATTATTTGAATGCACTGTCTCCTCTAAGGATAAAAGTAGATCTGGCCTTACGCACAGACTTGGGGTTATTTTTTCCCCCTGCATGGCAACTGCATGCCCATATGTATACACTCCTGTAAATGGATTCTTAATGCTCTCTGTGTATCTTTGAGCCTTTAGATATGTTACACTTAACGTATTTTCATCTATTCTATATAGAAGTGATAGCTCTCTGCAAGGCACTCTTTAAGGACCAAAAAATTCTAACATTAAGTTAATGATTTTCCCCCATAGCAAACCCCCCCCCACCTTACCCACCACCCCTCCACTTGCTGTATGGCAGTTGCATTCATTCCTAGGAAAATTCACATTGTCAAACACAAACAATTGCTGCAGTGTGAGTAGGAAGTGAGAGTGACTTCCGGGAGAAAAGTGGTTTTTCCAAAAGGAATGTCAGTGAGTGATTTGCCGTGATGACGACAGAGCTGTAAAGCGGAAACATCACATTGCAAAGACCGCCTGTGATTCCTCCAGCTTGTGAAGTCCCCAGCTTCTCTTCATCCAGATCTATTTTTCTGCTAACAGAGTACAGAGCTCCTCATTCAAATCAGACATGTTGCTGGCACAGCAGTCTCTGCCAGTCGCCTTCTCGGGCAGAAATGCTTAAGTCAGCCTGGATAGGGCCTCAAATCTCTTTTTGTTGGGGAAAAAAAGAAAAAACAACAACAAAAAAAATATATATATATATAAATATAAAATTTGACATGCTGCTATGTACTCAGACCATTTATTATTTATATTTCAAGATGTTAAAACTAGGAAAAGATTCACTTTTGTTCTTTCTTTCTCTCCTTTTTAGACCTTTGAAACTCACAACTCCACTCTACGTCCACAGGAAACCCTCAAGCTGGACGTGCACAGTATGTGTGTTTTAAGATAAAAGTGAAATTTGGAAGCACATCATTCCTTTTTAGATTTCTATCACTCGGTAAAACATTCGATCACTAGGAGCCTGATTCAAAACTATTTACTGCTTTCCGAAAAATGGCAAATTAACTTTCTGTTGAAAGAGGGAAACTAATAAGCTACCACAGGTTCTTTCTAGAATTTACCAGAATGGCAAGTAATAACACTAAAACCAAAAATTAACTAATAGTCTGGCATTTCTGCAGGGCCAAGCTCCACACTAAGATATTTATAGGTGTCATTTCCTTAATCTTCATAGCAATCCCGGAACAATCTATTCATCAGGCAGCTGGGTTTCAGATGGGTTTAACCATTGCTGGGCAAAGTTACACAGCTAGGAACTGCCTAAGCCAGGGGTGGAACCAGAAATGTCTGAGTCTGGAGCCCTGGCTCTGAATGTACTGGATAAACTGCTTCTTGAGTTCTCAGTTGCGACTGCGTCGTTCCTCACAGATGGTGCGGGTCTGTCTGGGGACAGTAGAGTAAGTGACTACTGAAGAGTGGAAAGGTGCAGCCTACATTATAGAAGTGAACACTTTCCTGCCTCTCAGCAATGCCTGGGCAATAAAATGAAATGGTACAGCAATTATGATTTAAGTATGTGTTTATGACTTTCCGACGGTATAGGAACTGCTGGTGGTGTCATGTTAAGTAAAGAAAGCAGGGTACAAAACTATGTGTATTTTATAATCCCAGTAAAAATATATATATCTTTTTATTTGCTCAAATGGGGGCTAAGGGCGCCTGGGTGGCTTCGTCGGTTAAACATCTGACTTCAGCTCAGGTCATGATCTCATGGTTCGTGTGTGTTCAAGCCCCACTTTGGGTGAGTCTTGCTTCTCTCTCTCTCTCTCTCTCTCTCTCCCCCTTGTGGATTCTCTCTCTCCCTCTCTCTACCCCTCAATCATTTGTGCTCTCATAAATAAATAGATAAATAAATAAATAAATAATTTTAAACAGTGGAGGGGTGAGCTAGACAAAAAATACATTAAACATGAACAGCTTTCCCTGCATTGGTAGAATTGTGTGGGATTTTTCTTTTATTTATCAGCCTGCACTTTCCAATTTTCCTATAGTAAAGAATTATTGTGATCAATAAAAGTAACCGTAAACTTTTTTTTTTAAGTTTAGTTATTTTGAGAGAGAGAGAAAGCATGCCCACATGAGCAGGGGAGGGGGAGAGAGAGAGAGAGAGAGAGAGACTCCCAAGCTGGCTCCAACCCACAAACTGTGAGATGAGGACCTGAGCCGAAGTCGGACACTTAACAGACTGAGCCACCCAGGCGCCCCAGTAAATGTTATCTTTTTAAATGACACGGGCCAGTTGAAAGGTCAGGAAGGAAAGGAGGATGCTTTATGGATGAAATATATTTCTAATGTCTGTTTTCTTTTGAAATCTCCCACATATAGTGGATTCAAGGATCATTCATGAAAACAGAATCGAGAAAGAGAGAGTCCAGAGAGTCACTCAAGAAACTTTTGGAGACTACTGTCAACCGAGACTAGAATTTGCACAATATAAGGTGGGACATTGCTATGAACATGAACTATGAGTTATCCATACGTTTGCGAAAGAAAAAAAAAACTTATGTGAAAACGATAATAAGAAACTGTTTCATTTCCTTTATCACTTTTTTCTTTTTCTTAACTTCTCCTTTTTTCTTCCTGAAGTAGAGTCAACCCACAAGGTTAGGCCAGTTGTCCAGTGGACGGTGGTATGATAATTCTGTGCATCACTCAGTGCTCACCGCAATAAGTGTCATATCACTTTTTATTCTGTTTGATAAACGGAGGAGTTAAAGTAGACCTCTTTATCATATTTATTAAGTTCCCATGGTAGTGAAGGAGACTTCTAGAAATCCTGAATTTGCCTTTTGATTTCTTCCTATGTATTAACTTAGTTCTGTATAACCAGCTGTGATCTGTATTTTTGAGGGGGAAAAATTGTAAGCTAGCCTTTTCTAGCCCGTCCACACTTACATGTAGTCGGTGCTCATAAATATGCGTTGAATGAAAGAGTGAATGAAGAAGTTGTGACATACCTAGCCCAGTTGGCATCACCAGAGAAAACTAGCCAAAACTATAAACCTAGCTCATTCCAGAAGTATGCCACTGCCCACCAGGAAGGCCAGGTTGGGGGCAAGCCCACTGACACCATTAGAAGAATTCAAGGTTTATATCATGATTGCCCTAATCTAATACTCACACTCGTACTCACAACCCCCTCCTCCCCTCTAGTAAAATTCTTTCTGCCTAGCACCCCTACAGCTAGAGGCAGTTCTTTAAATCTGCCATCGATCTGCTCAGTCAGGCCCAACACCTGTTTTCTTTGATTTGTTTTTAGTGGGCAAAGCTGATTGACATCTTTCAAGTTGGGCTCCCTACATTGACCGTTTTAACCCAGTTCCTCTAAACAACCCATACTGGAGGAACTGGCTCATAAGGTGTGGTCTCTGGACCCACCGTATCAGCATCACTTGAGAATGGGTACGAAATGCAGATTATTGGGCCCACTGCACCGTGGTCCTCCTGGGTCGAGGACTCTGGAGGTGGGACCCAGCCATCTGTTCTTACGAGCTCTCAGGCTGGTTCTGCCCACTAAAGAGAACCACGAGAATAAGTAAGAATCTGCAAATCTCCCCTAACGTACAGTTTAGAATAGCTCGATTCTGTAAGTCAGGGTGCACGTTGGTTGATTCATACCTGCTATTAATTTTCCCCACCTTTTCCATTTTTGAAGGATGTCAAACCCTCAGAACACTTGCATGGGTATTACCATGAGCATCCATTTCCCCTTTGCTTCAATTCACCAATTGTTAACACTTTGCACATTTGCTTTCCTTCTTTTTCTTGATTTCTTCTGAACCATTTGAGTTAGCTGCAGGCAATACTCACCCTGTAAATATTTCAACATCCTGCCTCTAAATTTTAAGAGGCACTTTAAGTAAAAGAATTTTGAAGTTATAATCTAAGGTACTCCAGTACCTATTGAAGCAGCAGGTGGATATTTGATATTAAGGGATTGTTAGATTGTTACTAATTTTTCTAGGTGTGATAATGTTATGGGGGTGAAGGTTTTAATGGTATAGGGCACCTGGGCTCACTCGGTTGGTTGAGCCTCCGACTCTTGATCTCGGCTCAGGTCATGACCCAGGGTTGTGGGATCTAGCCCCATGTTGGGGTCTGCGCTGAGCATGGAGCCTGCTTAAGCTTCTCTCTCCCTCTCCCTCTGCCCCTCTCCCCTGCTTATGCTCTCTCTCTAAAAAATTAAAAAATATTTAAAAGAGAGAGAGAGACTGGCAGATGGGTGGTTCAGTCAGTTAAGCATCCGACTTCATCTCAGGTCATGATCTCACGGTTTGTGGGTTTGAGCCCCGCATTGCGCTCTGTGCTGACAGCTCAGAGCCTGGAGCCTGCTTTGGATTCTGTGTCTCCCCCTCTCTCTGGCCCTCCCTTGCTCATACTCTGTCTCTCTCAAAAATAAATAAACATTAAATAAATAAATAAAGAGTCCTTCTTGGGTCTTTTCTAGGTACTGAAATATTTATAGATGGAATACCATCACGTCGTGGGTTTACTGTGGAATAGCCCAGTGACAGTGGTCAGTAAGGAACAGGAGATGGGCGGTAGGAGACTAGCCACGAGCTGATAATGGTTTCAGCTAGGTGACATGCACATGGGGACTCATTGCACTGTGCTTCTTACTTTTGTGTATTTTTGAAACCTTCCATAATCAGGTAAATAGAAACCATGGCAGTGACTCAGAAGACATGACATTTTTACATCGAAATGACAGATTTCAAAAGATAGTGCTAATTTGCCAGTAAGAATGCAAACTAAATGCTCAGGTGAAGGCCACCCGGGGGCAGACTTGACCTCCAAGGTCTCCTGTGTGTCCGGCACTGTGCATACTTGGCATTTTGTGGATGATATCATTTGACACACGGGTTGCCCGCTACGTTTGCAGTTAGCAAACTAAATGGCTCCCGCCCCCATTAATCCCTGTATTTTTTGATGACAAGAATTAATGAAACGCATCACCTGATTTCATTACAGTTTGCCATTCCAGCTGATGTATTTAGTAGTTATTTATAAATAAATTTGTTGACAGCTTGAGACGAAATTCAAAAGTGACTTCCATGGAGGCATCTTGGCTGAGAGAAAAGAGCCCCTCCGGTGCCTAATAAAGTTCTCTAGCCCGCATCTTCTGGAAGCATTGAAATCCTTAGCACCAGCTGGTAAGTAGTCAGCTTATCTTACAGGCGGGAAGAATTAACAACACGCTGTATCTGATCCTCTCTCTGCTAGCTAATTACCTCCAAGCTTCCTCCTGGCTCCCATCTGCTATCCCTGCATGCCCTATTCTGCATATATTCTGCTTCTGTACATCATGGGGGTCCATGATCCACCCACCCACCCTCTAATCTTGGCCATTTTTAAACTGACTCTTTTTTTTTTTAATTTCAGGTATCGCAGATGCACCACTTTCTCCATTGCTCACTTGCATACCCAATAAGGCAATGAATTATTTTAAAATTAGAGATAAATAAGATGTCTATGGTTTTGTAAGCACGGTATTCCCTTGACTATATTGCATATGCATTTCAATTAACAGCTAGCTGCGCAGCTTCTGTTTATGAACTTGTGTTTTAGAAATTCATTCTTGATATTGATAGTCCAGAAATGTTCAGTATGCTTGTTGGGACTGATTCTTTCCTCCTCCACTGTGCACCCTGCTCCCCCCATACCCTGCAAAGCATAGCAATTGTGGGCCTTTAAAACATGACGAGGTGTCCATTTTCTCACTCCTGTCTTTCCTCGATCCCAGAGAGACTGGGTTCTAATTGCTTGTTTCCAAGGATTTTGTCTGACGCCTTGGGTCATGGAAAGAAACAGCAAGAAACTATCTTCAATTCAGAATTTTCTAGGAAAACCATAAAATTGGTCCAACCAAAGGGTAGAGTTGGGTCCGTTAAGTTACTGCAGGAAGGAGAATATCAGATGATTCAGTAATATGAAATAATAGCTTCAATGTAAGTATGATACTGTTCATAATCTGTTTTATCCTACATATGGCATTCAAACTCACCATACTATACTGATTTTTGAATAAAGGTTTAAAAACTGGTACATCAGTTACTTCTCACAGAAATTCTTCAGTGATCATTAGATCAACAATCTAGCATGTTCTTTCTTAATAACATTTCAAAATCTATTTTGTTCCACAAAGGATCTGGGGTACAAAAACGTATGTTACGATTAAGATAAAATTAAAAGGTGAGTCAGGTCAACTGGGAAAGCAAACAAAAAGCAAGGACCGAATAAAGGCAGAGATAAAATTGCCACGTAAGAAGATACGAGTGCCTCCGTCTTCTAGAAGATTGAAAAAGTGGAGTAGAGTTAGCCAGTGGTCAGAGCAGAGAAGAAGACACCATTTGTGAATAAAGATATTTAAAAACCGGTGCATCAGGGGCGCCTGGGTGGCTCAGTGGGTTAGGCATCAAACTCCTGGTTTCAGCTCAGGTCAATCTCATGCTTCATGAGATCGAGCCCTGCGTCAGGCTCTGCACGGACAGTAAAGAGCCTGCTTGGGATTCTCTCTCTTTGTCTCTCTCACTGCCCCTCCCCCCTCTTGCTCTCTTTCTCACAAAATAAATAAAACTTTTAAAAAATAAATAATAACTGGTGCATTAGTTACTTTCGACAAAAAATCAAAAACAGGCTCAATATACAAAAATGTAAATACAATCAGAGAAGTGGTGCTAAACAATGCTTTATAATTTGATGGTATTGTCTATAGACTATAGATATGTGAAAAAGTATGTTTTTAGGTTTAATTCACAAGTGGCATAGATGCTTCAGTAATCTCAGAGTGAGGCACTGAGTCTGTAGGGGCTCAATACTGCTAATTTCGTTGTAGACCATAGTCGTGGTGCAGAGCATCTGTCCCTATGTGCACACATGTGGGAGGCGCTCTGCTCCATGCCTGAAGGCCTCTGTTGGGTCTGCACAGAGGCCCTGCGGTTTTCCCCGGAATGGTTTCACACAGGCTCACAGCCCTCCCTGGTGCTTGGCAGTGATGTGCAAATGGAGCCTGCCTGAGAAAGACACTAATCGTATTATCCACCCTATAGTGGAGTCACTTGAGGCTCACCCTGTAGCCCTCCCAGACAGCAGGACCTGCTTCAGGAAATGAGAATACATGGAACTCTTTATCTGTTACGTACTTGATGTTCAGTCGGTCCTCTTCTTCAGGAGGAATTATCCTTTATTTTTTTTTTTTTAGTGTGATATAACATAGTTTGCATTTTATTTATTTTATTTTTTTACAAATAGTTCATTGACAAGTTGGTTTCCATATAACACCCAGTGCTCATCCCCACAAGTGCCCCTCTCTGTGCCCATCCCCCCTCCCCCCCCACATCCATCGGTCCTCAGTTTTTGTCAGCATTCAAGAGTCTCATGGTTTGCCTCTCCCCCTTTCCCCCACTATTTCCCCCCTTCTTCTCCCCCACTGTCCTGTTAAGTTCCTCCTAATCCTCCATTACGTGCAAACATGATATTTGTCCTTCTCTGCCTGACTTATTTCACTCTGGCCTTGTGTAGCAACATGGATGGACCTTGAGGGTATTATGCTGAGTGGAATTATTCTTTAAATAAGTATGATTTGGTGAACTCCATGGAGGAAGTGAGTTCAATTTCTTATGTCACTGTCTTGGACTGGAACTTCTATTATGTACTTGACGATCCCAAGACACATACTGTGTTCAAATGCAGTCTTGGGAACAGATGGAGCAGTAAATGCAGACCGGAAGACTGCTACAGCCAAAGGAGTTTATCGAACTTTAGGTAAAGTCTGCAAAATTCAATAGCTGACGTTTACGGAGTATTTACTATGTCGGTGCTAAGTATGTTATATGCATTATCTTATTTTCATAACAATCCGATATGACAGGCAGCATTACCTGTCTTATTCTACTTAAGTGAATACCAGAGCTTAGGCTAACAAGTGGCTGAGCCCACATTAACCCCAGGCAATTGGACTACAGAGCCTGCACGCTTAGACACCACGCCAAAGAAACTAAATAGCCTATGGATGCTATTCCACACACATAGATTCGGGGGAGGGGGTTGTCCCACAATACTTTTAAAATCAGAATTAGCATCTATGATGGGCAGAATAATGGCCCCCTACTCAAAGATGTCCATATCCTAATTCCTGTTATCTGTAAATATATTACCTTACAAGGCAAAGAAAGGAACTTTGCAAAGGGGAGATTAGTCTGGATTTCCTAAATGGACCCAGTGTAATCACAAGGGTCCTCAAAAGCGGAAGAGGAATAGGAGAGAGCAGAGGGAGAAGGCCATGTGATAAAGACTCATCTCACCATTACTGACTCTGAGAAGCTGGACAAGGCAAGTAAACAAATTTCTTTTGTAGAGCCTCCAGAAGAAATGGAGCCCTGCCCACACATTGATCTTAGCCTCATACTCATGTCAGAGTTCTGACGTACAGAGCTGCAAAATAACAATCTGTGGCACTTTAAGCCACTAAAATTGTGGTAATTTGTACCTGCAGCAGTAGAAAGCTAGCACAGCTGCTGATATATAAATTGGAAGCTTTCACATAAAAACCTTGAAAAATACATCTAGTGATAGCACACATGAGTGGCAGCTGCCCCTTTAAACAAAGGATGTATGTTCCATGTCTCTGCAGTCCTCACGCCTCCCTTTTGTCTACACCTGGTCTTGTGTGTTCATTTACGTCGTCCAGCTGGCTCTTTTAGCTACTTAGGTTTTGGAACCCTGCCCTGAACTATACTGTCCCCCAAACTGTAATCAAATTTCAGTGCTTAAGATACAAATAAGTCCACCCTCCCTTAAAGTGATTAACTCAATCATTAGCAATTCATTTGTTTGTATAATATGACCTATGGCTAGTTACTTCTCTGCAGATTGGGGGAAAGCTTATAGTACATACCCGCTACACCTGTTGTGAGGACAAAATGAGATACAAAACGTGTAGCACATGGTAAGCCCTCAACAAACAACAGATGTAATTAACATACTATTGACTAATTGAATATGCGGGTTGTTCCTAATCTTTGGGAAATAAAGTTCCTGAACATATTGATTTTCCTTCTATACAATTATTGCCCAAGGTGAAGTTTCTGGGAAGGTGAAGAATGAATCAGTGGGACCCATACCTTCGACCCGTTCGCAGGGGACCCAGGTGAAGTTTTGTAACCCTCCCGCCTTACCTGGCGGCGGCTCCCTGCCGACGCGCCCTCCACGGCCGGCAGGGGGCGCCGCGGCCGTCCGGGCCCCGCCGGATGCTAATGAGGCTGGCGGCCCCGCCCCCTGCCGGAAGTGGCTGCGGCGGGAGGCGGGGCCTGCTGGCTCGGCCCTTCTGCCGTGCGGCAGCCATGGCGGCGTCTGAGGCGGCGGCGGCGGGGTCCGCGGCTGTGGCCTCGGGCGCCCAGACCGTCCCGACGGCCGCGAGGGGAGCCGCCGCCGCCGCCTCGGGCCCGTGGGGTGCCCCCGGACGGCTGAAGGGCAGCCGGCCGCGACCCGCGGCGGCGAGGCAGCAGCCCGCGGGGCCGGCGCCTCCGGCCCGGGAGCTGATCCAGCCGTCGGTGAGCGAGCTGTCCCGGGCCGTGCGGACCAACATCCTGTGCACCGTGCGCGGCTGCGGCAAGATCCTGCCCAACAGCCCGGCGCTCAACATGCACCTGGTCAAGAGCCACCGCCTGCAGGTGAGCCCGCCGCGGAGCGGCGCCTCCCGGGGCCTGGCGCTCGGGAGCCAGGGCGGCGCGGCCGGCGGCCGGGATTGCGGGGTCTGTGTGTGTGTGGTCTGTGTGTGTGTCTGTGTGTGTGTCTGTGTGTGTGTCTGTGTGTGCAGGGCGGCGCGGCCGGGATTGCGGGGTGTGCGTGCGTGCGTGCGTGCGTGCAGCCCGGCCGGCGGGCATGCGGCCGCGGAACGGGCCCCACCGGCCCGGGAGTCCCGGCGCGGCGGAGCGGGAGCTAGCACGCGGGGCCGCGCAGGAGGAAAGCCCTGTGTCATGCCGCGTCGGGCGCGGACGAGCCGGGGCGGCCCGGCCACCGGACCCCTCCGCCTCGGTACTTGTCGGCAACTTCGTGGGGCCCGGAGCGTCGGCCCCAGCCTGTTGATGACAAACAGGTTGCGCAGCCGGGCGGGAGCTGGAATGATAAACCCCGTCTCTTTGCTTCGACAGCCCGAGTTCTTTCCACCGCAGCCTCAGTGCCTCCCTCGGGCCTCCGGGTTCCGCCCGGTGTTTAAAAGGGAGCCGCGGATTAGCCTGGAAGCACCGCCAGGTACAGCGTTCACAGGGTTGGTAGAATCGGCTTGGCTCGGGACTGCGACCTAAGGGCAGTGTCAGTAAGAGGGGACCCGCGTATTAACGTGACAGTGGTCTGGACATCCCGTCCGCCTTCTGTAAAATGGGGCAGCGAGTTTTTAACCTTTAGTGCACGTCTGCGGAAAGCTTCCGGAAAATCCAGATGTCCGGCCCCACCCTGGGCCTTTTTTAAGTTGCAATCCCTCAGTCACTACCGTAGGAACTTTCCTTCCACCACCTCTCTCTCACTTCGTTCTATGCCAGCAGCGACAGAACTCCACGGTATGACACTCAAAGCAGTTTTGAGAATCTGTAGCTTTTGATGGTCTGGATTCACTCGGGAGTAAGTTTGAATTACCCCGCGTGTTGCCTGTCCCTGTCTGTCCTTCGGGTGAGTCCTCCTTGGAAACTTCCTTAGAATCGGGCCTCTGATGAGAATTGAGTTAGCACAAGGTTTGAGGTTATAGTCGCTAGCAGGGCAGACGTGTGGCCCAGGAGAGGGGACCCCCCCAGTCTAGTGCCAGCGTTTTCCTGGGAAGGTGAGGGAGCCCAGTCAGGAGAAGCAGGGGATCCTGCAAGTCCTCACAGTAGTTTTGGGGTTTCTCCCAGGACCCAAGTGTAGTGACTCTTCAGTGGCCTTTGGGAGTGGTCTTCAGTCTGGTGGTTTCCCTTCCATAACAGATTTTACTGAAATCCTCCCTTTGCTTCATATTTTAACTTCAGTGCGTGAACTGTATGCTCGTAGGAATTTTACATCCGCTTGGTTCT